GAAGACCAGCATCAATTGTTTCTGCCAACATGAGTGAGGTTCTTCTTCTCTTCTTAGTTACCTGGTGTGAACAAGATATTTTAAAACCAAACCCGAGAATGTTGTGCTACATTGCACTAGTATAATTTATATCTATCAAAATGACCATACCTTGTCTAGTGAGAACCAAGAGGCGTCTCTTCCACAAACAATACATATCTCTGGAAGTACATGCTCGTTTCTTTTAGGCAGGGTCTTATTAACGTCTGCGACTGATTGGCGTGTAATTTTTCGCCTTGGTTCCATTGGCTCCACTTTCACATGTAGTCCTTCGGTAGGAGTTACAGTTTCAGAGCTAGTTCCTTCTCCTTTTTCTTCTTTCCGCTGTTGTCTACGGATCTTCTCTTCATCACAAAATCTCTTCCAGCATTTCATATGATGGTACCATTCTAAGTTAATGCTGTCAGGGTTCTTCTCCATGTATGAATTCACGGATCCGTCATCGAGTTTTTCGTAAGATTTCTTAGCTATTTCAGCTTGTTGACATTTAAGTTTGGCCCATTTAGACCTACACTCAAGAAATTTCTTGAGCCTTTGGCGTGTAACTTTGCAAAGTAGCTCCGTAACGCCATCAAAATGAATAAAACATGAGGATATTCGAGTGTTATAAATATCTTCAGCCATGATTATTTTGCATAACTTAGTTCCACTTCGAAGCATGTGCGTGCTTATGCGCGTGCGCAGTGCGAGTTTGGCTGAGAAGCGCATGCGTATTTGCTACTAAAACAATGGCGATTTGAATATTTCGAAGCGCGAAAATATCAAACTTTGGAGGGATTGTTTTCCCAATTGTGCACCTGTTTCACTTGGGGAGCGACGGATTCTGATAAAGTAAGTTTTTATCTATTGATTCATGTGAAAATTATGTAGTTCCACGAGGGGTGCAACGGAATCCGTTTTCTAAGCATCTTTTGGATGCTCATCCTACGGCCTATTGCTTCAAAACATTCCGGGCGTAAAAATCGAGAAATTCTTTGAGAATCCACGCAATTTATCAACTTATGTTATGAATTACGAGCATTCAATTCAACACAAATATAATTTGAAAGGTTTATTCCATAAATAGAGCTAAGAGGTTAGGAAGAAACGACGCCGTGTTGTTTATGTATTGATAGACTCTTTATATGATACGCAGTTACACGAATTTATATTATGTCGATAGCAAGTCGATACCTGGTATTCTGCATACAGTACATAAATGATACTACAGGGTGTATCAAAAAAATGTCCCAAATGTAAAATATTCGTTTTTCAGGATATTTTGCAGAATTTGGCAAAATTTTGTGTTCCTAGAGATAGTTAAGACTTATCTGGTATACCTAGGCCAAGTTTGGTTTTTCATTAACAAAATTATGTTACCGGGGGGGGTGGTTCCTTTCCTCTGATATTGAGAGGGCTTGTGCGCGAAAATGTGAAGTTGAAATTGAGATATTATTTAGCTGTCTAAAAGTAGGAAAGCTTTTTAATAAACTGTCAAAGTTTCAGGAAAAATAATGCATACTGGGAGCAACGCGCGACCTCTAAAGGTGACACATATTTCATTGCGCGCAGTGGATTAAATGCATCGTTGATTTTAGCGTGACCGATCTCAAGGTGGGCAAATGAATAAATTAAAGCGAGAAACTGAACACAAAAACAAAGCGATTTATTCGTGATGTTAATCCTCAGCATGTCCACCATTTCATTCTAAGCAAACTGCGGTTTGTCTGAGCATACTAAACACTGAACAGCGAACCATTTGTCTGTCCATTCGCCTAGATTTGCCGGTGGTAGCGTAGACGATTTGCAAGAAAGAATTTCGAACGAAATGGATAATTTGAGGCAGGACAGACAAATGTGGTTCGCCGTTCAGTGTTTACCATGCTCAGACGAGCCGCAGTTTGTTTAGAAAGAAATGGTAGAAATGTTGAGGATTGACATCAAGAATAAAAATCTTGTTATTAAATCGCTTCGTCTTCTTGTTCAGTTTCTCGCTTTAATTTATTCATTTGCCCACCTTGTATGAGATCGGTCACGCTAAAATCAACGATGCATTTAATCCACTGCGCGCAATGAAATATTTGTCACTTTTAGGGGTCGCGCGTTGCTCCCAGTTTGCACTATTTTTCCTGAAACTTTGACAGTTTATTAAAAAGCTTTCCTACCTTTAGACAGCTAAATAATATCTCAATTTCAGCTTCACATTTTCGCGCGCAAGCCCTCTCAATATCAGTGGAAAGGAACCACCCCCCCGGTAACATAATTTTGTTAATGAAAAACCAAACTTGGCCTAGGTATATCAGATAAGTCTTAACTATCTCTAGGAACACAAAATTTTGCCAAATTCTGCAAAATATCCTGAAAAACGGATATTTTACATTTGAGACATTTTTTTTGATACACCCTGTATACAAAACGGACATTTTCTGCAGTAATCAAATCATTTTGACGCGTCGAAGTATCCACATCATAGACTTAATATGCACCGCGGTTTATTTACATTATTTACAACGCAACTATCTTGGCTATTCTTATGAAGTGACGGATAAATTGTAGCCATCATATAAATGTAGTGAATGTAGTCACAGTTGTTTGACGAAAAAAAGAGACTAAACTGAGAAAATCGCGCCCGGTTAGGTTTACATGGGCAACTAAAATTATAATTTATTAGTGACAGTATCCGCGGCTAACGTTAATTGAGTACTTTGAGCAATTTCCTTTTGATTAATGTTTAACCTAGTTCATTATATTTTTACTGGCATAAGTCAAAATGTTTATGTTGGGACAAACGTCTGGTTGCTTAGGTATTACAGGGCATGAAAACTTTGCACTATCCTTGGATCCCTAGTTTATTCCTTTTCCCGCGCCAATATTATACTCTAAAGGTAGCCACAATGCGAGCTGCAACGTTTTTTAAGATATACCTTTACATGATGGCAAAGCCGAAAGCGAAAAATATTTAATCCGGAGTTCGCAAATGGTTTTCCGTTTACGATGATGAACGGAATCCTTAATTCCTTTTCAAGTATTCCTGGTTAACCCTTATTAAACATCTATTGCATGGTAGTAGATAGAAAGAATAGTGTTTTGTACTAACACAAATGCTGAACTCAGATGCAAACTCAGATGCATTCGAATTTGACTTTTACAAAATTCGGCCTTCAGGTCGGCATGCAAGCCATGCATCGTCTGTACATTATTAAAACGAAAATAAACAAAAACATTTCAGTCAGTTACTTTTGACCATTTTAACAGTATTACTGTTGTATAAAGATAAAAAATGCAGTGATATTTGTGAATAAATTTGAATAAATGAAACCATTTAAGTCATCAGGTGTGAAAATTATATCATCGGACTGTCACTTTTCAATAATTTTTGTCACAAAAACATAGATTCTGCACCAAATATGTATCGCCAAATTTTGCACAAATAAGAGGGAGAAAAATGAAATACATTTTCAAAACTTGAGACGAAATAGTTTGGAAAAAACTAAATTTTTACCTGAGTTTTGCGTCGGAAGCAGTCTTTCCCCGACGAAAGCAGCCGAAAAGATTAATGAAAACATCACAAAAACGCCTCAATTGAAAGGCAAAACTTCCTAACCTGAAAACTATGATAACAACGACTACCTCCTCCGCTCCCTAGCGCCTGAAACGAAAAGGGCCTGCGGAGGAGGTAGTAACAACGATGAAACTAAGCTGAAAGATATCGAAAAATTTGTTAAACACAGGCGAAAAACGGCATATAACTCAGCGAATAACTTTTTACTGCAAAAAATACAAATATTGTTTTTTACACTATAAGCCTCGTTTCCATGTTGTGCGAAGGCGCAGTTACTAAGTTTCGTAATTGGTCTATAGGAACCGGTCTATTTCATTCATTAGAAAAACATTATAGCGTGTATTATTCACTCCTCAGTGACAGCGCAAAAAAGGCAATCAGATTAAAAATATGCCGAATATATGTATTGTAGGTGGTTGCTCTAATGTATCCAATGCGGGAAAAGGAATCTCGCTACATTTTATACCGTTTTCTGCTGACGAAAGGCCAGAAGCTAAAAAGACGGCATTGTACCACAACTCTTGGGAGATAAGACTGGGACGTAGATAAATACGGTTACATACACATTTCAAATACTAGAATGTTTCGCGCCATTTCAGACTTGCGACGACGAAAAATAAAAAAAACAACAAAAAAAAACAAAACCGGGGCGATGACTTAATAATTGCGTGACAAATTGCTGAACTGAACGCGACTCTATGATAGGAATCATGGAAGGAAGTGTCCTCATTGTGTTTACATTGTTGCGTGACTTGCGTCTCATTAGACTTTTTACTCGTATAAATTATGTTCTACATCTTATATACGTTCATATATGCACAATCTGTTAAGGGGTCTCTTCTATTGCCAAGGTTCTACAAATTTATAAGAATCTACGAATTTATGAATTTCTTGATGATTTTTAAATAATATACATTTGGGCCAATATTTTCATTTACAATAAAATATCGAGTCTAAAAACTCTTACATCTCTCTTGAACGAGTGAACTTGAATATTATGCACTAAATATAAACAGTATCTTTGTATTTAGGTTAAAAACATTTAGTTTACTTGTTGAGTAAAACGATAGACTTGCTTTCTATTTTGAACTTAACCACCGTTTAAGCTAAACGGGCTTGATGGAAGCTAGTAAAAGGTTTTACTGTTCATACAGCGCGAGATCCCAAACACGATAGCTATCATTTCTTTTTCAATTTGCGCTTAATTGACTTTGGTGTGGGTCAGCAATCGAGACCCATAAGCCACTGGCAGGCCATCGATCTTGCATTGTTTGTTCTGTCAGTGTCCCAATTTTACGGGCAAACCTCAATCCCTAAATATCCTGTCCGGCTCCAAGAGAAGTTTAACGTCTGTTCTAGGCCTTCTGACGTTTTGTACAAATATTTCTTTGTGCACAAAATGACTTTATTTTTGTACTAGGTATCCTGACAAACTATTGCTATATGCTGAGCTCACGATTCCACTGGAATGGGCCTACTATAAATCTGGATACAAATATGTACTGCTAAGTAAGAAGGATAAACCAACGTACGAATATCTAGTTGAATTTTCTTCATGGAGAGGTTATGTAAATAGATGCCTAGTTGTTGGAAAGGAATATGTTGCAGAAAATAGTAAGTGGACTAGATACAGCTATACCGCATTTGACATTCTTATTACTAGAGGTAAATAAATTATGGTTACGAAGCTCTACAAAAGTGATTCTGCTGTGTTTTTCCTATTAAGATTTATCGATAAATAAAAATTTATAATTTTACCAAAATATACAATCAAATTTTCCCTAGTTCTCATGCACGATCCTTTTAATTTTTTGTATGAGAGATGCTATAAATAATATCATATATCCAAATAATAGTAACATTTATAATAGTGTGATATATACTTTATTCTTCTAACCCACTGTTATATTGGCAACACTAAAATCCGAGAAATGAGTGATGAGTCGAAGGCGATGAAAATTTAAGGAAGCCGAACTCACGATATTTGTGAATCTAAATGCATGTTTACTCTAATTCGTGGCTAGTCGCAACCGTGCACGGAAACGATATGTATATAATAAAAAAATGCGAATCTGTCTTTTAGAAACCTTTCACAAGTATGATGGATATATATATCCCAAGCCAAATTGGACCATACAAAGGCTCTGGACAGATGCCTCTGTATCGGTGGCAGACGACAGAAGAGCATTCTTTCGAGAATTTTTCCCTAAATGGAGCGGATTTTACATAGAGAATTTCGATTGCAAAATTCAACCCGTTGAAGCACTACAAAAGCTTGCATGTTTGGTTGACAACGTTTCCTTTTTTTGGACATCCACCTCAGGATATCCGCAATGCTGTAAGAATGATTCTAACAAACTTAAACTCGGAGAGGTAGGTGCATATGGGCGTAACGAAAAGCGATCAAATTAATAGACAAAAATTTTCTATATGAAGTCTTGTAAAAGGGGACGGGAGGGCGTACAACTCTCACACTCCAGGTTGATGACTCATAGAATCCAAATCAAACTTCAACTTACAGGTAAGTCTCGTTTAACTATAACCAGTGTGATAAAAACGAAGCCAAGAACGCTATAACACTTTATAATAGATAAGTATAATTTCAATATCCCCAACCATAGTATCATAACAACCAAATTAAAAAGGAACATATATACGATGTATCTAATATCCTAAGGACAATTAACGTTTTTATAGAATTCTAACATCGAAGCGCCAAAATTAAATTCCTCCTCGCTCGGCTTATTATAAAACCGTCGAAATATCTGCTCATTCGACCATCCTGCGGATAACATAATATCCTTAATGTTACAGTTATTTGACGCTAAAAAGGATGTAGATGGTGCTCGAACACTGTGGTTTTTAAATTGGCTACCATCTAAACCTACAGCTACCAAAACAGACTTTATCCATCGAGATATAGTGTCTTTGGAGACTGGACCATATGGTTTAACATAACTCAGTAGCAATTGTTTTTTATCATGCCTATTTTCGTCAGTTCTCTTGATATACTCGAAGAGATGAGTAACGACACAAAGCTGAGGCTCCAGTGAATATTTCAAAAACTCGAGGGGTTTAACATGGGTTCCGACACGTGTCTGTTTGACTTTCTCCATGACGTGGAAAGTGCACATACTTGTCCGCAACGAGAATCATGTTATCAACAGTGTGAAGATGAATAGTTTGACAGCGTTGTCCACTGAGTAAAGTCAATACGAAGGAAACTTTAACAGTAAGGTCCTTTAAAGTCAGCGCGGAAGACTTAGGCTGCCTTCGAAAAAACTCTAAGACCTTGCTAACATCCCATACCCCTTTCATAAAACGCCTAACAATAGGCAGTTGTCCGAAAGTGACCTCAATATCACTTAACTGCAAAATAGAAGATAAAGCACACCTCGCCGAGTTGATTGAACTATAGGACAAACCCGCGTCAAACAACGATGCCAGAAAATCTAACGTCTGTTGTAAGGGAGGGGAGATTATATTTTTTGTTCTGTAGATCGACCTGGTACTGAGATTTCGTGCTGTCGCTCCAAGACGATTAAATGATATTAATGGATCTTAACGAGTAGCCACGTTGATGTAACTGTTGCCGCAGACACGACAAACCAAAAGTTTGAGCTTCTTGCAAAGGGGTTGAGTTGTGTCCGGCGAATCAGCAGTCTGTGACTTGGTTGTAGGGCCACAGGAGGTTGAACATGAAGAGGGGATAGCAAAGGATACCAAGGCTAGGTCGGCCAGTCGGGAACAACTAAAACTCCCTGGGCATGCTCCTGAATTATCTTCTTGACTGCAACAGGCAACTAAACGGGGGGAAACAATAAAATTTTAAGTTGGCCCAATAGAAAAAGAAATAAAATAGAAAAAGCATCAACGAACACTGCTTCAGGATCTGGCCGATAAGAGCAATATGTTGGAAACTGTTTATTTAAGCGTGAGGCGAAAAGATCGATCTCAGGGTGAAAATTTAAGGTACGGAGTGCATTACGTAATGACAATGAGTTAAGTTTCCACTCGCTATCCGGGTTATGAAAATGAAGAGATTCTTTGTCTGCTAAGATATTCTGGGAACTAGGAATGCGAGCAGCAGTAAGCCAAATATTGTACTCTCGACAAAATTCCCAGATTTGGCAGCCCATAGAGTGGCAAGTACGGCTATGACAAGAACCAATGTTATTTATTACAGCTACTGCTGTGGTGTTATCCATCATGAGTTTGACATGCTTGACCCTAAGGGTGGTCGAGAACACTTTCAGGGCAAAAAATGCAGCTAAAAGTTTAAGGTAGTTTATGTGATGGGTACATTCAACTGGCGACCATTTTCCCTCCAAAGATGTATTACCTAGTACAGCTGCCCAGCCGTCTAGGGACGCTTCAGAGTATATAGTTATATCAATAGGGGGAGTCAAAAGAGATCGAAAACTGTCATCAAGATGGGTAACCCACCATCGTAACTCTCTCAAGCCATCCTCAGAGACAGTCATAGGGACATCAAAATTACCCCCTTGGCTCTTTTAAGAGCTTCTATTTTATCCATTTTAAGGTACCTATAATGAACAGCCCCATGGTGAACTCCAGGTAAGGAGGACACTAGGTAACCAATAATCTTGGCTACCTGTCGGATAGGAATGTCTGTAGGACATTCAATAACATGATGCAAACAATTTTTAATCTTTTCCTTTTTCTCCTTTGTAACTTGGATAGTCATTGTTATTGAGTTAATGACAAATCCTAGGATAATCACCTCTTGAGAGGGGAAAGTAATGGACTTATCAGGATGGATAACTAGATCTAGGCGGTCAAATGTTGCAACTGTGTCAAGAACATTTGTAACACACGTAGCATATGTATCACCCTGCAGATAGAAGTCATCAATATACCCACTAATAATATGATTCTTATCCAGGGGTGGTTTTATAAGTTTGGTAAATTTTCTAGGTCATGATAGCCAAACCATTAGAGAGGGCTACTTACTTGAACAACTTGCCTCTATAGAAAAACTTTAAATATTTTTGGTAAGCTTGGTCTACCTTGACACTATAATAAGCATCCTTTAAATCCAATGTGGCCATCCAACAATTTTTAGTAAACAATTTCATGATGGTTTGGATGCCTTCCATTTTAAAATGAAATTTGTTATGAACTGGTTTAATCTCTTTAGGTTCAGTATCAATCTGCCATCATTTTTTGACACAGTGAAAACAGGAGAGATAAATTCTCCTGCCTCATGGTTACATTCTATAATAACCCTCTTTGCCTGCAGATCTTGAATTTCAGTATCAACTAAGGCATAGTGCTCCTTACAAGTGCTATTTGGTGAGGGCGATGATGAAAAGGCATCTCGAGGAAGTCTAAAACTGTTTCAAGTATAGAGCTATCTGAAGTTAGTCTACAGAATAATAAGAAGACAACTGCCCCCATTGGAAAACTGACACCCTTGCCCTGTTATATAATTTAAATGGGCCTGCCATAAAAGCAGAAAAACTATTTACCTGCGGCTAGGACTTTAAAATCGTGAGTTGTTCATGGATTTCTTCCTGAGTGGAGCAGAGGACACCTGTTGTTGACGAAACCTTTGACGGAAGTTGTTTCGGGGTGGGTATATCCCTCTCCCCCGTTGGTTTAAAAAAGGCTTCGGGGCTGTAGTTTGGTAGGCTTGAGGGCATTTAAATCGATTGGGAGAGTTTCCCGGGGACACCGAATTGACAACATTGTTTGGTGCCCGAATATCTTGGATGGTCTTGGAAAGATCATCCCCAAATAAAAACCCTGTAGGCTTAACAACCCTGGAGCATGCTTGTCTAAATTCTGGGCTGAGGTGAAATCGAGGTGCATGCATGTTTACGGTTAAAGGACATCTCTTTGTGCACATGCCCAATTAGGGCAATAGAATCGGTCAAATTTGACAAGAGTGCTTGATTTGGAAGAGCTTTCTTCTCTTTGCTGTCAAGCAACCTTTCCATGGTATTGACAATAGCAGAGGATACACTAAGCAAGATATCCTGCAAAACATGTGCTTTGATATCTGGACGCTTTACTGAAGTGGCAACCTACCCCAAATCTCAGGGTTTACCCTGGGGAGAGGAATTGATCACAATTCTTAGGAGTCTTGTAGTTCTCAATTATAGATTTACGTTTCTGTAAATCAAAATCAAGTGTGAATTTTTCATTCACTAAATTAGCCAATCGTTCAGAAACAGGGGCCCAGCTTCATCAAAAGGGCTCAACGACTCATTTAAAACCAGCAAGGAGATCTTCATGCTCCTCATCCTCCTCTAAAACTGCATCAGTGGGCTCAAGTAAATCATCAATGCCCGCATGGACGCTTAATCGATCGTCCTCAGTAAGGATCGACTCTTCTTGAATCTGAATTTGACCTGTAGCGATTTCTGATGCTTTCTCTGAAGCGTTATCTAGTGCTTTCTCTGTAGCATGTTTTGATGCTTTCCCTGAAGCTGGTTGAGAGGTCTTACCACGCTTATTAACAGAACCAGAATCGTCGGTCTCAAGCACGGAGGCCATGCGTTTCCCGCCAAAAGTTTCCTCCCGTTTTGACGAGCTTGTGTTGTCTTGTGCAATCATTTGTGCAAGCAATTCATGCGTAACTTGCATGTCTTGTCGCATGTTACTAAGCACTGCCAGCAATAGCTCATCTTTTATGCTCGTTGAACCGTCACACGGCGACTGCTGAGGCGGAGGGACTTCCCTCTGGACCGCAGGAACTATATCAACAATCTCGTCGCCTTCTGGAGACGACATGACAATAACTACACACAAACAAAACTACAAAACATCAATCGATGACAACTTAGCTGCGAACTTTGTCTTTCGGCGAAACTCAGGACGGTTTCGAGATGGTTCCAAGGATAATTCTTCGAGCTCCAAACAACACAACCGCTCACTGGCGCGTGAACAACACAACTGATTGGTGCGTGCGCTCCACTCTCTCTCGTACAACGTCACCCGACTTAGGCTGATGACGAAATAGAATTTAACCGAGGCGAAGGCTTTCTGCATGCATGTATTTCTTGTCCCCGAGCGGGCGCGGAGCGCCTTGCGAGGGTACTAATTCCGCTGGGAGATTAATTACACTCGGGTATTGTGACAGAACATAGCGGAATCCAAAGTTGCCCAAATTCTATGTCATGGACCATGGACGTACAATGGTCATGGTACTTATGCGCACGGGCAAAATTTGAACGAGTGAAAACTGGTAATTAGCAACTTGCTGATTGATAAGACGAAACTGAATATATTCTCACCGTTCGCCCCGCTGCACAATACCATAGCTGAAAATAAACTAAGAATGGGGACAAAATGATTTTCAGCTAAGAGTAAAGTGCGGCGAGGAGACGGTGTCGCAGCCGAGGGGAGGTGGGTGGGACGAAAATTCCTTCCTGTATATGCAGCCAGGTCGTCTTCGTGGCAAAATGTGAAAATTTGCTGTTTTCCCGGTCTTTTATACCAACCGTGTTTATTCATGCGATTACTCTGATGCTGCTTATATTTGCATTAAGTTTTAACGCATTAATATGGTATTGTTTAGCGAAGCGCCCAGTGAGAATAGTTTGTGTTTCAGTGAAAAACGTCAGCAATTTAACTGTCATTTTGCAAACTATTTTTTTAAAAAATGTTTCGAAAACACAATATGAAAGAGTTTAAAATATCTTTAGAACTGGATGTGTTAGCAGTGAAAGGAAAAACTCGTTTATAATCCTTGAAATGGTAGGTGTCTAGAATTAAAGTAATTCCGAAAAATGAAAGCATAATACAAATTTTATTCTGTATATTTCGAATCAAGATCGATTCATCTTCAGCAGATTGGTTTACAAGATTTGCGTAACTATGAAGCGTGTACAATTTAAAACACGCGTGAGCGTAGCACGCGTAAACAATTGAAACGAATTTTGAAGTGCAACGAATTCAAATGTTAACCGCTGTAGGTGTCTACTTTGTTTATTTCGAGGTTTATTTCATGTTTGTTGTACGAATACATTTTATGACCTTGGTACAGTATGTTGTTTTGCTCGGTTTTGCGAAGACATAACTAGCTATTTATAAGGTTTACATCATCGTTTTAACTTCAAAATGTTCCTAAAAGCGTAATTTGGAGTTTTGATATATAACAAATACATCACTTTCAAGCTTTTATACAGTCGACTGCCCTCACTGCATGAATTCAATAATCGAAAAACAACATTCGACGTTTACTGCTTCGTTATTTATATTATTTGTGCTGTTTTGAGCTTTTGAAGGTTTAGTTATAGTGAAGTGTTCACTCTCACTTAAACTGTGAAAGTCTGTAACTTCATGCAACGTAATGCATCAGGAAAACGAGTGATTTCACTTCACCTTTAATTTTAATACGACTGTGTTTGTTTCCGAAAAGTTTGAAACATCAGCTATCGGCTTTACATTTTATAATAGGTCATTTCAAAATATTGGTTAGGTCTGCCTAGTTCAGGGAATATTTTGCTTCATTTCAAATGGCGAGGAGTTTCTGCATGCATTTTTTCTAGTTAAATAGTAAGGATGGCCTACGCAGTTTTCATTTGTATTAGGGACACAGCATTTATAGGGCGGCAACGCGCGACGACGACGTGGCTGAAACACTCGAGTTATTGTTTTTATTCAGGACTTTAGTGCGTCTCTTTCTGATGCTTTGGTTTGGTTATCTCTGGGACGACCCGTTTAAATCGGTACTTTTCACTAAAAAAAAAATTGGTTAAATAGACCAGAAGCGAATGAGTCATTTTGGCCAATACTTTATTTGGTTAAAACGACCATTTTAAACGGGTTGTTTCAGATGCATCCAAATGACCTTTTTCTTCGGGTTATTTTAACCCAAAAAGTAATTGGTAAAACGACTAAATTTTAATGGGTCATTTTGACCCAATATTTTTTGGGTTAAAACAACCAATTTAAACTGGTTGTCTCAGACGAATCTAAACGACCCACTTTTTTGGGTCATTTTAACCCATCTGTTTTTACAGTGTATATATTATCAATCGTACTAGAAATACATGTATGCAGCAACCTCTCGCCTCGGTTAAAAGAGAAATTATTTAAGCATAGGGATGGTAACATGATAGTTAAGAAATTTATGTGAGGTAGAATCAAGGTTTACCCTCATATTTTCCTGAAAAAAAAGGCAAAAATACGACAAGATTCTTGCCTTTTTCTGAAAGTCAAGTTACTCATCTATTGTCAGTGTTATCGTAAATTATTTTAATTATTAATTACCTAGGACGTTTTATGTTATGCCTAGCTAGACTGGTTTTTTGCACGCGAATATTTTGATTTGATTTTCTTTTTGTCATCATGAAAACGGAGTTTGTAAATGAAATTATAATGTCGTATATCACATAACACATTCAGATTTATAGTGAAATAAATTTGGAAAAGAATGACTTTTTAAAGCTGTGCCGGGTGAAATATTATCAAGTGTAAAATCATCCAACTTCATTATACACGGTGAATTCGGTCGAAAATTTGATCTTGTTATTTATAAAAACCGTAAAAAGTCCTGACCAAATTTCAGGTTTCTTTCTAATGTAATTTATGAAATGATTATTTATGAAAATATAAATTTATAAATTTCATCAAAATTTTGCGAAATGACAGTTACGCATTGACGTTTGAAAATACAAATTTTTGTCTCGACCAATCAAAAGCTTAGTAGTTCACACTGGCGCATGCGCATAACGTAGAAGACCGTCCATGACGGGAGGTCCATTGCATAATGGCGGGCAACTTTGATTTCGCATTTTCACATCGTATAGGTGTAAATATCCGAGCGGAATTAGTACCCTCGCACAGTGCTCCGCACCGGCTCGGGGTTAATTTAATGAGGTATAAGACTTTGAAAACATTGATTATATGTTTGAGAACATGGAGCCCTATTTGAAATAGCGTCCGTTGTGATTTGAAGTGCAAGTGACACAAAACGTGAAAGTTCCTCAAACGTTTTGCATGTTTACACAAATCTTCAGTTGTGTAAACAGAACGCGGACGACGTCTATAACTCTTATAACTATAAGTCTTCAAATATTTATTTTTTTCAATGACCCAATATATTAATAACCGCCGTCGTTAGATCCTGTCCCACATGCTTAAGCTAGTCTCATGTTATATCAATGTTGGAAAAAATAAAACCTAAAAGTTCGGGTTAATGTTTTCTTGCAGCTTTTTAAGGAGATTTTAATGCCGAAAATCAACGAAAATCTGAAAATTTTGTCAAGTCAGCCAAAAGATCCGAAATCTACAATACATGCTGTAGTATCCTCAGTAGTAATCGTTTACGTATTCACGAAAAATCGTGTTAATTTGGAATTTGAACTGTGTAAAACTTTGCTGAAATGCTTCACGCTACCTCCAGATAGAGAAATATGTTCCGAATTCTTGAAGAGACTTAAAGAGTTTGATGACAGTGTTTTAAGGTATTAGAGTTTGTGGTATTTTTCATTTCTTGTTTTCACTTATAGTTAAGTCCGAACCCGGATATCTTAAGGCCGGCGCACACTAGAGCTATGTGCTTAGCAAAAAGTCATTCGTGGCCATTAGCGTATATAAGCCAGTTGCTCTCGTGTGCGGGCGACTTTTCCAGTGACTTTCGTCATTCGTGCCAAAAGTCACCGGAAAAGTCGCCCGCACACGAGATCAACTGGCTTACGCCGATGGCCACGAATGACTTTTTGCTAAGCACATAGCTCTAGTGTACGCCGGCCTTTAATCTGTATCCAGATTCGGTGCGTTTTCGAGCAGTTTCCGTGAGAACGATACGAATACGCTGGAATTGTTTCATGTAGACACGGGCATGGGCTATTACAAATAGACTGCGATGTAATTTTTAGTTGCTAAATACGTGTTGTAAAATAGCACAGGTGTTATTCCTGGAAGCTAACGTCTCCAGTAGAATGGCGTGACTTGTGTAAGAAGATAAGTGGTGCGCCAGCTTCCAAACAATTTTTAGTCTTATTACATTGCAATCAACAAGGCATGAATAAGAGGCTAGATCATGCAGGGCCAACATTTTTATTTGCCACATTAACTTTCATAATTTTTTTTATGAATAGTTCCTTAAACGAGGTAATTCTCCAATTTTATAAACAACAATCATCAAAGAAATATCTTGTGGTTAGTTGGATTCAGGCTTTGCCTTTGCTGCATTTTCTTCGACGTGAATCCGTGCCATTTGAGGATCTGATTTGTGTAAAACCCGTTGACATCAAAACCTGGAAATGGTGGGGACTAGGAAATTTTCCATACAGAGAGATTCGAAAAAATATTGAAAGGTTTGGGTTATTCTTTATACTCAAATTTCACGATTCTAGCTTAAACGTTCTAGGCTAGACGTTCTAGCTAAATCCCCGAGCCGGCGCCGAGCGCCGTGCGAGGGTACTAATTCTGCCCGGAGATTAGGAATTACACCCGGGTTTTGCAACAGAACATAGCAGAATCCAAAGTTGTCCAAATTCTAGGTCATGGACCGTGGACGTTCAATGGTCATGGCACTTTTGCGCACGCGCAAAATTTGAAATAGTGCTAATTTAATCCCTCAAATAGTGTTAATTTAATCCTAACGAGGTATTTTTTAATCCCAATATTGGGGTTAAAGTAGTTGAAAACCCTTTTATAGGGTATTAAAATAACACCTTGAAAATAACAGTGAACTTTGTTTATTTCGTGTTTGCAGTAAGAATGCATTTTATTAGCTTGGTATGTCGTTTTCAGAGACCTAATTAACCGACTATTTAAGGCTTTGCATCATCGTTTTAACTTCAAAAAGAGTGGAGATTTGATATAACAAATGTCACTTTGAAGCTTTTATAGAGTCAACTGCAATCACTGCATAATTTAAATAATCGAAAAACAATATTCGACGTTTAGTGTTTGCTGTTTTTAAGGTTTAGCTGTAGTGAAGTATTAATTTAGTCTTATATCGGACTATAATTGCATGCAACGTGATGCAGCAGGTAAACGGTGATTTCATTTCACCTTTACGACTCTGTTTGTTTCCAAAAAATTTTAAACATCAGCTATTATATTTAGGTCTGGCTAGCTCAGGAAAAATTTTGCTTCGTTTGAAACGGCGAGCTTTTGCTGCATGCATGTATTTCTAGTCTACAGGAATATTTTAGCCGACTTAAATCTTAACCTCGCTAATGCAAAATATACGAAGCGATTTAGTTGCCGTGGCTGTTATATGTATATACAGTACGTACCTTATTTGTAAAGTGGTAAGCAGCGTACTATCCTATAAGATAAGGTCCTGATCCCGAATTTTTTTTTTGAAAGAAATTGGCAGAAACAGTGGGTTGATCTTTCGTGTTTCAAATTGATCTAAAGCAATAATCGGCATTTACATGTATATACCGAGGCAACCTCCGATCGATCTCATTTTAATGAGGTGAAAAATGGAAAATATTTCAACTATTGCACTCATAAACATTAATTATTAGTATATTGACAAAATAGTTTGGTCAGTAAAACTGTGACAAATGCCTTGCTTTTGGGGTTGCATGGCCTGTTGCATTGATTGTTTCACCTTTCCTATAGCGTTGCTAGCCTTACCTTATTGACCACCATAGTCAACTTGGCGTAATGCGGCCGAGTTTATGTGTCCTGAACGAAACGTATTCAAACTATTTAATGCCATGATACAATTTATAAATTTTTCCAGTAAAACTTGTTAATTTTCACTGCTTTCTGTTTGACCTTTAGCGAAGTTATGAAGATTTTCCCAAATTTGAAGGATGTATTTGAAATGGATCGTTTGCTTAAGCGGACTTTCTTACTGCTATGTCCTGTGGATAAATTCGGAGATCTTGTAAAGACAGAACAGTTTTCTTGCTTGGAATTGTGCGTCACCCTAAGAAAACTACTGCCCGATACTAAAAACACCAGTTCGTATACATCAAACTTCGTAAGTATTTCAAAATTGTAATGGGTCATCGAGCAAAAAGATGGTCACACACAATTTCTTCGAAACCAATGGCGCAAAAAAGTATTTAAAATGATCATAATTCCCTCTACAACATCGAAGGGTTTTTGTAGTAACCCTTAGCAAGAGCAAAACTGCCGAACTGAAAAACTGCCGTCTTGTTTTTATACTTGTTGATTCGTGTTTTGTGTTTAACCTGGTTCTTTAGATTTTTACGGGCAGAAGTAAAAACTCTGACTCTGTTATGTTGGCACAAATGTCTGGTTGCTTAGGGCACATAGAGGGCATGGAAACTTTGCACTATACCTAGATCCCTAGTTTGAATTTGGAGGCATGCAAAGGGTTGGTACACCATTTGCCCTCTAGCTATCAAGCGAAAAAAGTCATTATATATATATATAGGGTAATCTGAAAGTTACTTGTATTCGAACGAAAACAACTTTTGTGTTTTTAAATGTTCTAATTTGTATAATGTACTTATTTAATTTCCATGAGGAAGGTTTGAGGTATTGCTTGCATCGCGGGAACGATAGAAACTTTTTCTACAGAAAGGCCTCGATCTCATGAAATTGACGTCAAATTGCAATCAGTGTATGGTAGTGCGAGGTTTTGCATGATCTGGTACTGGTCTCGCTATTCAGCTTTTCGCGGCAACATTAAGTGTTTCATATTGTAAGCACTTTGTTTAATATGAGCTCTATTTTATAAATACGTAGGTTGAGTACCTAGTTTCATTATTCCGGGAGATCAACGATCGCCTGTCCAACTTGAGGTATTTATTACGTTTTTCTATATATAAATACTTGTCCAGAAGGTGGTCAAACCTCTATAAAGGGTAGTAGCTCTGGTTATTAGCACTCATATGAGAAGGAAAAACTAAAAAATCATCGAAATAATTTTAGAATACCCCCAAGCAAAATAACTATTTTCATTAAGTTAATATACCTACAGCACCATAAACCTTTTTAAAATCCACATATATTTGAGCATGACTAATACTAATAAAATTTTCTCCTAATCTTTTGGTTAACACAATTTTTATTCATTCATTCTTAAAGCAAAAGAAATGCCTACAAAGCCCATTTATTTGTTTATGAGCAAACATATCGATAAATAATCAACTTTTTAAACAACACGAACACTGTTTAAGACTAAGCTATGACAGGGGGAACGAATGTATCGCCTCATTTGAGACGTATCGTAATGTGATGTTATGAAATTGGTTTAAATTGGCGAGGGTTGGGACGGGACTAATATAAACTAATGGAGGGTCCGCTTGTTATTTTCTGTCCTTGATAACTTACATGTTCCTTTAGATCAGAAAGCCTGACAAGGCGGTTGTCAGGAGCGCCAATGAGAAGTCGTTTACAATCTATAGCAATGTAAACATCTTTACTTTTTACCAATTTCTTTTGTTGTTGTAGTTTTAAGCAATTTTCAAGTGAGCAAATGCCGGAGACTTTGGTAATACTTAATAACTTGAAGTACATCGTTTATGATCTAAAAAATTATCTCAAGCTTAATGGAGTCGAAATACTTTGTCGTTTGGTTGAATGTTCAATCACTGTTATTAAACTTCATAAAAGTGAAAGTGATCTACAAGAGCAATCTGAACAAGATCATTCCAAGGGGAAGCTGCCTGCGTTATTTCAATTGACAGATATTCCAAATGAAATGTTTTCCCTGTATAAAGATCAGTGTCATTATGTTGCAGCCTTTGTTGATGCGAAACTTCCTGTTTCAATTGAATATTGTAGCTATGACTCTTGGGGCCAAGAATTGCAGGTCAGTAGTTAAACTAAACATTTCAGGAAACATTTCAGTTGGGTATCGATTTAGGTTTTTGAGCTTCGCGATTTTTAATACCTTTTTAATACCAAAATATTTGCATTTTATTATTTATGATGTATTGCGTAAAACTCGAAAAGTATTGTATCAATGCACATAATTTTAATGTATATTCTTCCTACGATTTTGTGCGTATTATATTAATTGTTTTTTGTATAATCATGTTTTCATTTTTTTATAATCACTATATGGGTGAACTGCGCTGACTATTCTATTTAAGTCATAGCACATATACACCTCGAGGTCGCATAACAAATCTTTGTGTGCTCCAAAACACCTCTTCCAGGGGCGAAACTAGCACGATATTTTGGGGGGTATTTATATTTATATCCTCTTTTCTACCCGAGTTATTTTGAAAGACGTATGAGTATATAGAAAATCCATCGTGCAGAACAGAATATTTGAATAATTATCACGCTAGTTACGCCCCGACCTTTTAAAAAACATTCCTTATGGTCTGTCAAATTGTGGACAAGCAAGAAACACTTCTTAAAGTGTGTTATGGGCCCACTATAGGTGTCACGAATACACCTTAAAGCGTGTCAGATTCTAGAATTTTACTGGTTTGTTAGCGAAGAATTTTTTCAACAGTACCAAGAATTATTACTTATTATAGGTAATAATAGTAATTTTAGTAACAATTAAGTGATTCTAGGAATTTGTAGTAAATTTTTTCCGCTATATTGTAAGCTAAGTTGCTCTGAGTGAAAAAGGACTTGTAAGGGTCTTCAATCACTATAGTTACCCAGACCAGACACACCCAATTGTGGAAAATTGACGATTTTTAAAAACGATAACAAACTAGGTTTTAACGCTAGAACGACGGAATTAGTTTTATTTAGTTCTAAATATTTTTGCCTCGGAGTTGAACCTCGAAATAAATAAAACTTTTCCAGTATTAAACGTTTTACAGGCTATAAATATAAAACTTCTACGATCTGTCTAAAATAAACAGTCGTTATTTTACTTAGACTGAACGAAATACAATCAAGTTAGCTTTATTACTTTTTGAGTTACCTTTTTCCTAAAATAAGGGGAATGAGAATTTTAGTTTGCTAAGAAAAGCGACGAAAAACGTTTTACATATATATTCATAACGTGCATATTCATTCATGCATGCAAAACGTTTTTCGTCACTTTTCTTAGCAAACTAAAATTCTAAAAAAAAACAATACAATAGAACAATGAAACAATAGAATAAGCCAATGGACCCCTTTGATTTGCTCGGAGTAAAACCCTAACTGATAAAACTTTTCGTTTAATTCTCGCGTTCTTTATATATTTTTTTAAAAAGATTCGCAAGATCGATTAGGGAGACATTTAAGTTTCCATCCTTTTAAAAACAGGATAAATCGTGATTTTTTTGTATAAGACCACCTTAAATGTATAATAAAACAATTATTGGATCCGATTGGTTTTCAGTTTATTTACAATAATTCTTGATATCATGCTCAGCCTCATCCAATAATTGTTTAATAATGCACAATGTTTCTCTATATGCAGGTTTGGAATCAGTTGTTATCATTGTCTGCCCCAGAGGTTTTCTTCGAGCCATGGAAGGACCACTATCTCGAGAAATTTCAAAGTAGAATAAACCTGGTATGATTAGTGTTAATTGAAACCTATACATATTATAATTGATCATGCTTTCCTCTTTGTCTGATACTATAATAATAATATGCATGTCATTTATTGTCGTATAGTACTTTACCTTTATAACCTCGCAAGCGAGGCCTTTCTACCTACGCTCAACGGATCACGCTGCGGCGAAAAAACTGGTTCAGGCTGGCCATGTGACAGCGCAAACTCTCCCAAAAAATGGGATATTTTTAATTAGCACTTAGCTCATCTCTAAGGGAGGGGTGGCAAAGTCAATATGCCACTTCTTCCTGCTATTTTTAGCACTTGTGACAGTCCAGATGGGCCGTGAAGCGTAGGAAGAAAAGCCTGGCGTGCAACGATTTATATCGAAACGTACACTTTTCGAACAAGCAGCGAGTTTAGCACTTTTTAAACAGGTTAAAATAGTTCAGAGCCAGCAAGTCAATACTATCGTTGGAATGATGTTTCCCCGCATAATAATTTAAAAAACACTCCAGAACAATTAACTTGCGCTTAAAAGCATTTCCTTAGCAAATAGGCAGATAAATAATAAGCTATTTCCGATCGACTTTTTGTGATCGCTATTTATTTAGTCACAAACAGCCAAACGAAATAACCCTCATCAAAAGTCCTGACTACACATTTCGAAAGAAAGAAAGCGATCACAAAAAATTGATCGATAGAAATTTTGCACGTATAAAAATCATGTTCGGTTTGGTCGTAGTTTTTTTGCATGCCTAATTTTAGGCGTCATCACTTCGTCGGATTCAGCTATATTGTCAGGCTGGTGAACACAATTGTCATCCAGATATCGCAACCTGTTTAAGCAAGGCCGCTTTCGAAGCTGTGGAAAAAGTGGTGGAAGTAAGTACAAAAAATCGCAAAGTTCGCACGCAGGGATATCAATGTAAAAATCTCTTATTGGTCGTTTCCATGAAATCCTCTGGATATTTTTATCAGAGCCATGCATTGAATTGCGTCATGGGATACGACCAAGGGGATTATCAACCTTTCTTCACTTCTATGGAATTATAGTCACTCCATATAGTTCTGGGACTAGGGGATTATTTTTCTTAGGACATTCAGTCGATCAATCCACAAACGATTTCAGCCTATTCTGCCACAAAAACTGCGACTGCATGTGTTATTATTCGCGTTGCTAAGCCGGAAAGCAATTGAAAGATTGTAAATAAAACAACTTCGAGGTTATTCAATTCCCCAGTTGGTTAATTTGTATACAATTTATGAACGTTTCTGTAATAATGTACAGAGTCGATCGTATTCACTTGCATTTTTCCAAGCTATTCATGTTAACAGAATTTGAAGTTCTTATAGGGCCAACGTATAAAAGGTATTTTCAGTTTACAAATTACTAAAGCTCTATATTTTGAGAAAACGACGATCGAAAAAGACCTTATCGGTTGTCGATTTTTTAGTGAAACTAATACTTGTGAATTATATTCTTTTTATAGGACGGGCAAGGAGAACAGCGAACTTTTGCCTATTTAAATAAGAACATAAGCATGGCCAATGTTGTAAATCTGCTAGGGTCAATGCTAGAAAAATCCTGGCCGCGTGAACTGAAGAAAAATGGTGAATTAAATGAGAAAGAGGAGAAGGAAATTTTGCTTAAACATCTTCTCACATGGTCAATATGGCCTGGATTTTTAAAGTCCTTTGGTAAGAATTTCTAACTTCGACTCTGGTGTAAATTGTTGAATATTTGTTGTGATTAATTTTCATCCCTGCGCCTTCACGAGAAATTGCAAATATTTTTATCATGACGTTGCTCCCAACATTTTTGAAATATACCAAGCGTATCATTTCCATTTAAAGGCTTGTTTCCATTTAGTCGTATAATTATATAATTATTTTGAACAATTATTATTTTGGTGTGCAAAATATATGTAGCGTGAAATGCTATATGATTAAGAATAAGAGCGTTCTGGTCAGAACCAGCCAACCAGGCACATATGTTGTCGGCACATTGATAAGTGTATGAAGGATAAAATAAATTCATTTCAATTGTATTTTCACATTCTTGTTATTTTGAACTTGACCTAAATATAATTATGTAAAAAGGCTAAGCAGGAAATATATTCTTTTAAATTGCCTTGTCTTGGCGGTGTTACACTATGTAATCCCTCAACATTATAGTTAACATCCTTAACATTAACATCCCTCAAAGTTATAGTTGCGTTGCAAGGAAAAGTGCATCGTGTAAAAGCGCCTTAACAGCGTTCCTATAGCTCCGATCACACTGCACTCAATTTATCGGCACGGCACGGTTAAAATGGGTGGTCGTATCAATTTCATCAGTGTTTGTATTAGTATCCTGGACACTAATAAAACCGGGCACAAGTGCTGATTATAACCATACCGTGCCAAAAATTTGAAAAATACCCATTTTAGCGGTGCCGTGACAGTCAATTTTAAAAAAAAAAGTGGTGTAAACATGACTTAGTGTATAGTGTACAGTACTTTCCAGAAACAAAAACCGCGGTTAACCTAGGTCAAACCTCGGTCTCACAGACATTTCTTAAGATGTTTTCGATTTGATTATTGTGTTGTCGTTCAACATTCCGTTCGGAAGCGAACAACGACCGCGATCGTATTTTTTCCCTTGCGGTCGTCTGCGGTTTCTATCGATCGACCGCAACCGAACTGCGACCGAACCGCAAACGCAGTGTTAGGTTATTTCTGGACAGTACTGTAAATGGGGCTTAAATGCTTGTGTCGCACGTTTCATTGCGTCTATTGGTTTGACTTTTGTTGATTTGTTCTTCCTTATTTTTGTGATTATATGTCGCAATTGAAAACCGTGCTTTAGCTTTATTCCATTTTCGCAACCCTTCTTGGTTGAGAGCTATAAAAAGTAGCTCACTATCATGGAGACGTTTCGTTACTGTAACTGAAATTACTTATTGAATGCTATATATTTTTTGTTTCACAGGCTCTTGCGGGTTAACAGTCGGTGACTGCGGAGTCATTATGGCCCGAGCTGTGTCGTGCGTTGAAGATCTTGTAAATTCTGTCATCGATGGGTCAATTGCAACAGCAACATTAAAAGTCTTAGAAAAACATTCTGAACAATTTTTGAAACTGGGAGAGGTACATCAAACCAACGAAAATGGTCCTCAACACGTCCCAATAAAGACTTCTTTTCACCAACGAATTTCTGAACTAAAAGAATTTCGTAAAGTAAATTCCCATATTGAATGTTTCCTTGGTCTCTGCAGCTTCAAATCAGGTATACTTGAGAATTTCATATTTCTGCACTGCGAAAACTTTCCTAAATATAAATCACACTTTTTAAAATTCAAGCATTCCATATAAGAAAGATGGTCCATGTTGTAAACATTAAACATGCAGGGAAGTGTTCTAACAAATTAATAACTGTTATAGTCTTCCAGGAACATCTGCAATGATACTTTCCCGTAGTTATTTAAGAATTATAATTAAGAAATAGAAAACACATTCCGTGTTTCTATATAGTTATAGCAACACGTATGGACGTTTGGGAGAACGAGAAATATAGTCAGTCGGAAAACGAGTCCGTATAGGGCGAGTTCTCCCAAACTTGCACAAGCGTTTCTATAACTGGATAGAAACACTGGAAGTAATGTTTTCTTTTCGCTTATAATATAACTAAAAAAAAATGAAGAATTTATACAAATTTTTAATTCGATACAATTATAAATTCTCATTACGTTATGGAGCCCCTCCAGCCTCATGGTTTGCTCGTCTTCGCTTGTCAATCTCACTTACAATAGGAGCATCAAGGAGCCATAGCAAACAGTCAAAATTGGCAAAAATAGTCTTGAAAACACGTAAGCAACAACAATTTAGCGACGAGGCGGGGTAATTCCGTGTTTCCATACAGTTATAGAAACACATTTCTCGACCAATCAGCACGCTCGTACTATATAAATGTTTTATTGTAATGCATTTTATGCTTCGTTTTTTTAGTCGACGAAGAGCTTAATGTCTTGAGAAAAAAAAATATGCAAGACTTTAGTGAGTTATCAATACGGGATGTATGCGTTGAAAGATCTGATGGATTCAGCGTAATATTTTTTGAGCTCAATGACAAGTATCTTGATATGGTTTCCAGAATAACTGAGATTAAAGGCAGTAAAATATTTATAAAGCTATGGCGTAAATACAGCGAGAAATTACAAAATGAGGATGCAGTTACAATGGAAAATATTTTTAAAATTTGGATGAGAGTGTGTGAAAAACTCAAGGATATAAATGAACAGTTTCTAAGCGGCGAAATGCTACTCAAGAACATCGATAAATACTTAAATTTGTTTCAAGCGAATTACGCCGATTTGGAGGTGGAATTCAAACTGCTTTCCAGGTTTTTGAGTTGCTCAAAAAAAGAGTTGGGGGAGGCCGAGAACAACCTGGATGCCAGAATCACGCAAGTAAAGAAATACAAGAAGATTTCTGATGCACGTCAAGCGGGGAAGTCAATTCTCGAGTTAAAAGAAACGCTGGGTCTCACAGGCGATTTCTCGGTGGTTGAAAAGATAGAGGAGGTCAGATAGTACACTTAATCTTCTACAACCCTTGATATATGTTAAAGCCTTTTTACCGTTTGCTGTCAGACATATTTATGCACGTAGACTACATAGGGCCTTTTGCAAACTGTTAGCTGGAAGGTATAAACGTTCTTTTACGCTTGCAGTATACGATGCAAAATACAGGGATATGGGAATTTGGGGTTATCTTAATTGGATATCTGAGAAATTAAACGTTTCCATCAGTTTAAAATATTTATTCATTTTCCCCCAGTTGAAAAGATTTAAACGTTTCTGTCTGTTTAAAATTGATTCTGTTGCGGTGATAAGGCGGCACCAGGTTCTACAGTATGAATATTAATGGTGATTCGAGAGTACATTGTATACTGAATGTAATGAAAGTTTATTATAAACTTCGTTTGCATATAAAAGCGGATTTCCATTCCGTGCAAAATGTCGCGCGAGCGTTTTTTTGCGTTAATTTCCTTTGAAATACAGGCAATCGAGCGGAACTGATCCTATTAGATGAACATGATCAGCTGAACACATGTCAAAAGAAAGCAATCTTAGGCTGAATTAGGTTTCGTTTTGGTGTCCCCCTACCTTTCGAAACGCCAGTATTAAATTTGTAGCTCTTGGTCAGTCAATGATAAGTTGAAAAATATTATAATTTGTGATTTTTTTAAAAAATGATACAATTACTACACTGTAATAATGCAATATCATTTGCATTTGATAATCCAGATTATTAGTGGCAACCTAAAACGTTTAGCCATCAAATCCGTGGATAAAGATCTGCTTCAAGCTGGAGAACTCTTGGACAAAATAGACGAGAAAAGGAGAAAATGTTTAACAACTTTTACCGAATGTTTTGATTTGGTTACCTGGCTAAGAGAAAGTATAAATGGTAAGCAAGTCTCTATATTTTAGTCATCTAATGCATTGTATCTGAATATAAATTCACGTGGAAGGTGATTCTTAATTTAGGTTACCACGGAAAAATAGCGAAAATTACTTTATATAAAGTTGTTTGAGATTTAGGTGAATTTTGTGAAAACTATAACATTTAAGTTAATGGTTTCAAAGGCTGATCTATTTTCTTTTGAACTTTAGATGAACAAGAGCTCAAAGTATTTGTTGATTTGGCGATGATTTCAGCTGGGGAAGATGACATGGAAATTGACCGGATTTCCTGTATGCATACAAGTTGTCTTGGATTTGGATCATTAATTTTCGGTTACGAAACAAATCATGGGTTTGATGAACTAATGCGACTTTGTCAACCTGTGTGGCACGCTGTTGACACAAATCCAGGCGTTGGACAAAAATTGGTGAGTTAACAACATGCAGAGAAATAGAGCGAAAATTACACAAAAATATTTATTAGTTTAAATATTACAAGTACTTGTGTATTAAATATTACTAATACGGCCTTAATTCTCGTGATATTCGTCATTCAATTGTTGTATTACACAAATATTTGATGCCTCAATGCAGCATGCTTACTTGTCAGAACAGAGCATTCTAAATCGGTTAAGAATGCTCAAGTTGAACACAATTCATCAAGATTTGATTTGAATATAAATATAATATGCAGGAAACGCGCCTTAAAAAAAGATCTGGGGATCGAGGAGTGAGCAACTACGTCAAAAAGTGTTTTGTGGCAAAAATTTGCTAAAAAGTACAATTTTCAATTGATCACTTCAACTTTGAACAACAACTTTACCCTTTCTAGATAGATCTATGTAGTAATCCGCATCATCCAACTGTAAAGCTTTGTACTTAAATACATCGCCTTCAACTAGCAAAAAAAATAGGTTTGAACCTTTTCACGTTATAGCCAATATATATAGGGACTTGTTTTTTAGTAAGTGTTATTACTTGTTTTAAGATAAAAGGGTTTGTGGATAAAAGCCGGCGTTGTTTTGGTGGTGTAATTTCAACTCTTGGCCTTCATGTCGGCCTTTAATTTGGCTAAAATATGGCGGCCAAGTCAAGATGGCGGCCGAGTTTACTGATTACAACTTGAGCGTTTTTAGCCATTCAGTTATATACATAAAAATTTAGTTGCTATTGTTAACATTTTACTTGGTGTTCTAAACCACGGTAACGTTGCTCTTATTCAACTATAATTACGACTAGTATACAATTATTCAAATTAAGAAATATATATCATGTATTTTTATCGAATTAAGGTATCAACTAAGAATAGCCTGTCATGGTTGAAGCAAATAAAAGAGTCTCATGGTTCAGTTGCTCTTACAACTATGGTTCAAGTTGAAGCTATCAATTCCTGTGGTACCTATTACATTGCAGACACCGAGATGGCTAAAGAAGTTAAGTACGCGAACGCTGGAGTTGGATTAAACCTTGAAAATTTGGTGTGTCTCAATGTTCCTGAAGATCCTCAAAAAAATCGAGAAAGAAAAGTTTATAGTCTGGAAGAAATAAAGGACGTACAGAGTAAACTTATGTTGATTGCCGGTAAAGCGGAAAGTGGAAAGGAGGAAGTTGACAAATTTAATGAGGTTTGGTACTCTATTATTCTCTCATTTATTATATATCCCAGCATTTTAATTTCCAAGAATTTGCCTACGTAACTACCAAGTTGTTACGAGCGCGGTCCTATAAACTTTGATGATACTCGCTTTCGGTTCTGTTTCTACTCGCTACAAACACAGTGTGAATCAATTAGATTTATATAGTTATTTTTTCCTTAACCTTCCATGCAATAACAGTAATTAACGTCTCTATAAGATTATGACTTTAAGAAGATAATATATCTTTAAACTTTTGACTTATCTCTGTCTGAGCACAACTCCACAAAGCCTTGTCTTCAACTTTTACTCCTTTTGTTTTCTACTTCTGCTTTTACAATATAATATTTAGGCACTGAGGCCTTACGAAGAATGCTGTACGCATTTCTCCGCCCGTGGTTGGTTGTGCTCAGACTTTATACGCTTGGCTACACTAAAACTATAAGTAATTTCCCGTACGCAATCTAGTGCGTTGTAGCACATGCATGCTACCGTGGTTTGTGGTCGACACCTTGTTACGTGTTTGTGGGATAAGGTGTGGATAGTTATTTGCTTACTCATGCATGTAAGTCTGACTAAAGAGAATACTATATGGTTATATGATTATATTATGATATATAAATTGTTATAAGATGATATAGTGATTATACGTAATACAAGTACACTAAAAATAGCAACCTTGTTATTTTACAAGAACCCGCATTGTGAATTTAAAAAACTTCAAATAATATTCCTGGGCATAATGCAAACAATATTGTTAATCTTATTTCAATGTGCATAATTTACATTCAATTTCGCTTTATACACCCGACAGCGTCGCGTAATTGCTATTATTCTAATTAAAAATGTCTGCGTCAAACGTGAGCGGGAAAAAAATGTTTAAATTTAGCAAATTTTGAAGTAATTATGAATTTTTATGAAATTATGTTGACTATTATTTGTAAACATCTCGAAATTTATATTAAAACAAATAGTCGCCTCGGCGACTAATTGTTAAATAGAAACACGCCTCTCGACCAATCAGCACGCGCGTACTTTAAATGTTATATATTATATAACATTTAATAGATATAATATATTTTTAGATTTTCGATGGAATACTCAGAATAAGCCATTTATACTTGCAACTTTGTGAAGTTGGTCAGATCGACTACTTAACATGGAAGCGTAAATACCAATGCAGTAAAGCGGACGACGAGAGGAACAGTCTTTTAGAGAACATTAAAGGAACCTGTGAAACAATGGAATGTGATTTAAAGAAATGGAAGGAAGATTTTCATGTTGCAAGAAACAGCTGTTATTCTTTGAATCATTTTACCATGAAACAGATTTTACACCTAAGACTAGAGTTAGCAAAAGCATGTGTTGGGCATGTGGCCATCGATGAACTGCGATTGCAGACTTTTATGCTCCTTGAGTCTGTTTACAAGAATATAGAGCCTTTGCTTCTTGCAAATGTCTTAAAAACAATGGTTCCTGAAAACGCGGTGTTCTTTACAGAAGAAAGTTCTAAAGACGGAGAAAAATATTTTGAGAATGATATGGAGTGTGAAGGCATTTCGTCCGAAAATATCGAAGAAGATGTGACTTTTCCAAGCCAACAGAGACGAAAGATGTCGCTTGAAACTTTTACAAGTGCAAAAGAGAAACTCGAGGGAATGGGTTTTGATGAAGAAGATATTGTTGCTGCTTTGCAAATTTGCGGTCGTGATGCAACTGAAGAAGATCTTATAGCACATGTTATTTCTGGAGAAGATGATAAAGAAACTGTTATGAAGCTTTGTGAAGATGCGAAGCGAAATCCACAACTGTCAGATCTAATTTCAGATCTATTAAATTCAGAGTGCCAGTCTGGAGATGCTGAAGAAAGCAAAAGGTATGTACGCATTTTTATTGCAACGTTTCTGTAAAACTTTGCAATATTGTGGTGAACGGAAAAAATTCACACCAGTCAGTCTGTCAGTCAGTCAGTAATATATATTCATATTATTCAACCTTCAACCACCGATGTGTTTGTTTTGTATTGTTTTCAATAGGGAAATTAAAGAGGAAAAAATTGACCGAAGACCTGTCACACTATACGTAAAAAACAAGGAAGATACTTACCTCAGTTTGGAAATTTTAACTGACATTTTAGACGAACTTTCGGAATCAGGTAAGTTATCGAAAGTTGGCCCAATGATTGCTGATGTGGTCTTAAATTATTAGGTGATTTAAAGGTATTTAAGCGTGAAATGTTTTAGGCAGTCAACCATTGTCGGTGTCATTATCACTGCTAATTGATTCCATAGCCATAGGTGCTGAATCCCAACGTATGCGGAGAAAGATGCCGTCAGGCCTAATGGAGGGTGAACCGAACTTACTACTTGTTCCAAAAGGTATGCGCAGTCTGTACGGTAGCAAAATATATTTTCCAGATACTTTCGTGCAAATAATTTAATGAAAGTTCAACCTTGACGCTGCATAATCTATTAGAAATTATTCATCATCGAGTAAAGTGCCATATTCTAATTGATTTATCCTCTTCAGTATTTCCTATGCGTTCCATAGAAACGCGTCTCGACGTTTCGACCTAGGGGTCTTAAAACGTTACATATATGCAATCTTAGTCTTCCAGAAAACTTTTAAACGCTTTTTTTCCCTGTTCAAAGTGTGCGTTCAACTATTTCAAGAAACTGTTGGAGCCACCTTAAGTCGTGGAATGAATGCCAAAATCTTCTGTTAAGCGCTGTGGGCTGATTTTGTAACCATTCGAATGATTTTGACATTAATTGCAGTCCTATTCGTTCTATTACCATTATTAATATCAATGATCAATACATGGGATTTTTGTAGACGGAAGTTGCTTTTTACAGACTATCATAATGAACTTTGTCTTCCGTAAATTGTTGGTTATTCATGATAGATGACAAATTACTCGGGGGTAGTTTTCAGACCCTAACGTTTGGCAACGGCTTTCTATGATAGATGAATTTGACAATATCCGCCATAACCTAACGCCTGAGAAAACATTTTCTTATTTCAATAAGTTTCAAGTTTCGCTGTGTTTCTATGAATTTTACAAGTGCGTGAATAATAAAAAAAATACAACTTAAAATGATTTGAACGACTTTTTTGTTACACACCCTGCATGATTAGCACAAATGTAAATTACGAGATAGACGCCCTAAATCAATTGGGGTCCACTCCTAAATCGAAATTTCTCAAATCACAAAAGTGTAGAATCAGTATTATAAATGGATAGCTACGTTGGTTTACTCAATCCAGTCAAATGAGTCAATGCAAATATTTCATTTTAAGGGGAAGTGTTCGGCTGTCTCCTGTCGCTCTTCATGGGAAGTGAAGCCCGTCAACCCTTACCAACTGATGAAGAAGTGATTGTCTGCGATGAAAATACAACAGCGGAAGAGGTAAGTTACTCAATAGATTCTTGAGGGAAGAGAGAAATTTTTTCTACGTGCAGTTTTCTTCAGTAACACCCGGAGCTCTTGATTATGCAAAGAGCCGCTATACAGTTTTCAGTAATGCACTACATTACCAGTTTGCATATTGTTTGAGGTGCACTGCACTAAGTATAAGGTATGCATGTGAATTATCATATTTGAATGGATTTGGATGCATCACCGAGTTTACGCGAAGCAACGATTTTATTGTAAATGATCACTAATTTTAATATGTAGATTGAGTTACTCTGGCGACGTGCAGTCGTTGACGACAAAGGACAGTTGTTTTTGTCTTGCTAATGCGGATCTTTTGGATTATGATGTCAGCCAACAGGTTGTTCGTTCTTTGGAATTGTTACACAAGGACACTCCAGTAAGTATATCACGGTATATATATATAGGACATAGTTTCCATTCCTGCCAATAGTTGCTGAATTTTTTTTCAACTGCTTCCGGTTAGGCCTTGCAAGTATATAATTTAGACTTATTATATAATGATAAATATTGAACAATATTATCCATCAATCATGAACCTCGGATATTCAGAGTGTATAAAAACCCAAACCTTTTCAACTTCAAATTAGCTATAACCTTAACTTTCTTTGAGAATTCGCAGTATTGTAGTGAGTGACAAGCGATACCACCCTTTTTTATATATTTTAAGGTTATACGGTTTTTTTAAACCTTAATGAATACGAAAGCTGCATGAAACTATTTCTATACAATCCCCTAACGTCACATATATATTGCCACAGGTCAGGTACCAGATAAACTTGAAACGTTATTTCTTCCATTTTTCTGCTTTTAGAATACCACTTGGTCGTGATTTGCAGCATTGAGAACGAGGACAGATCGAATATGGTTGCATCCTTGGATCAGAATCGTCGCCATTTTCCCCCAATCCCATCTATGAAAGGTATTCAAAATTATTTGAAAGAGCAGCTTATGGTTTCAGGCACAGAAACAGTCGGCAATGTTCATTTGGCACCAGCAGCCACGGTTGACATGGAAAAGTGAGTATTTTACGCAACACATACAATCGTTGCGGACATTAAGTTATGACACCCTCGTTCCTGGCTGCTTTCAATGTTGTTACACAATCCACTTATTTCACCGTAGTCCATCACACTTGATTGGGCTTTTTTATGATAAAACAGCATTGAAACGAGGGGCGTGTATTATTACTTTTTAAACAAGGGTCCCAACACTTCTGAAAAGATTGTACTTTAGACTTTGATCGAGGTTTCCTGCTTTGAATGACCGTTCATGATTGGGGAGTATAAATATATTGGAAATACCAGAAAATATATATTTGGAAAATAAATGAATGCAAAACATATTCATAATACATGAATATGAATCCCCCCGCCAAATTATCTAGCCAGCTACACCACTGTGTATTCCAACTGCTGAGTGGCGCACCTCTTACTTCTTATCAGGTGGGGTCTTAAGAGAAATTTTGGGATTGAAAACTTATCACTCCCATCACCCACCCCCAATAAGAGGCCCAGCATTACATTACATGTTTCCAATCCATTGGCTTGCAGTTTGGGCAAATTAATAATATATCAATTAGAGTAATGCATGTTCCCTTTATATTTTAAAAGGTTATCTGTTCGTGTGATTCAGTCGTCTAGAGCTGGCATGGGAAAAAGCTTGTTTATCGAACATCTAGCAGAACAGTTGGAAAACCTTCTAAATAACAAAAGGCTTCGTGGAGGCCTAGTGCCGTCGCTATGTGCTACAATTCCTGTGCATGGAATCTCTGTGGACAGTGATTGTGTCACCCGCAAACTTCTCTCTCATGCCGTGAAAAGGGATATTCCTGTTTCAAGGATTTTTCATTTGGACGTGTCTCAATCGGTTAGTATATACAGTAGTTCATCGGAAATAGAAATGCTCTTATGCATGAAGTTAAAAAGTTTGTGACCAAAAACTGAACTGTTATGAGTAAACCTAAACATTAAAGTGCCTATATCACTTGTGGGATCCTTACGGATTTGAATAGAGCTTGAAAAATTAGTTTGTAAGTTCTACAACCCTTTTTGATATAGTTAAATAGTTTCGGAAATATTTACATTTAAACATGACGATTTGCCTAAATTTCCGTCGTGCTCGGGGGCCTGGGACTCAGGAACCGAGTTCTTGTGAAACATAATAATTATAATCAATTGTAATTTTACTTCGATCTTCCAATAACGTAAAATATTTTGAGAAAAACTCGCCCAGTTGCTACAGCCATACACAACCCACCGTTCCCGCATTTTTTTCTTGAAAAGCGCAAACTATATCGCCAGTGAAAGACTGAAACTCTTCATGTTTACATTATAAAAGACGGCGTGTTTGCAAATCATTCCTGAGTCCCAGTTCCCCCAAACGATGTATTTTCGAAACTATTTATTTTATAACAAAAAGGGTTGTAGAACTTATAAACAAATTTTGCAAGCCCTATTCAAATCCGTAAAGATCCCACAAGTGATTTAGGCACTTTAAGCAAATAATGTTGTTTAAAAAAATTCCTCGTCAAATACGGCCTTGAATTTGGTATGTAGGAATTTAGTTTTGGCTCTTTCGCTTTCCAAAAAGATTCTTCGAATCACAAATGCTTTTTGAAAACTTGCTCCAGGTTGTGAAAGGAATTGACAATATCCTGTTTCAACTTCTCATCTTGAGAGTTGTAAAAGATAAGAGTGGGAATGTTTGGAGAAGAAAGTCGACTGATATGTATGTAGTTGAACTTACAACTGACAAATCATTTGAAGCTTTAACAGCTGACGCGTCCTTATCAAATTCAAACTACAGCCAGGTACAGTGTAAACGTGCAAACGATACCTGTTTCTTAATTCCTCTCTTGTAAACTTCTGTACTGTAAACTTGCGTTTCTGTTTGTTTGGTTGTACGTTGTATGAATTTTAGAAAGCATCCAACTACAAGAACGCGAATGATACGAAATATATTGCGTATAATATAAAAAATTTATTTAGTATTAAAATGTTTAAAGTACTCTTGTTGATGGAGCAGCAAATTGCTCCGATTTTTTTCATTCAAGGTAACCCAGATTTTTTGGTAGTTTTGTTTTTTACCAACAATATCAAGAAATTTCAAAAAATATCAAAGCAAAATTCATTGTGAGAAGTTAAAAAAAAATAATATGATTAGAAAAATTATTTTAAAAGCCTTGCATTTGCATATGTAGTTTCATTTTCTTTAATCTAACCTAGACTATGAGAAAACGACTGGCAACAGAGAAGTACTCATTTGTGAAATACCTGCCTCGAACACATTGCTCGACACCCAGGGAAACGTTGGACAACATAAGACTCAACAAAAGGGGTAAGTCTCAATTCTCAATATACATTTTATGAAATTAAAAAATTAAAAGACACCATATAATTGTTTTAATTCGACGCATGATTTTGTTTGACAATATATATTTAATGTTTTTGAAATAAACGACAAAATTTTTATGTTTCGAAACATGTTTGCAATTATAAATTTTGTCGTATATTTCAAATGCTTAATTACTTTTGTGCTATTCAGATCATATGGTAATATATTTAATGCATGTGCATGTATGTTATAGTAAATGCTAACATTAATTTTCTGGCAATACTAATGTATGCCTTTAAACCAGATCTGTAAAGAGAAATCCAAAATTATTAACGTTTTGGCACTAGCAATATGGTGCAGTATTTTGTTGATGCAGTACGTCAAAACACATTAGGCTCAGACTCTGGTATGGACATACCAGTCTTAAAATAGGATTTAAATTCTACAATAATATACTTTTTTCGAGTGTGTTTAAATTCCTATCACCCGGTCATGCATGTCCATCTTTAACGGAGCCTCTGTGCTTCGATATGCGCCTATTTGTTTTGATGCATATCGGAACTTGAATTTTTTTGCAAAATATTAAGATATCCTCCTGGGGATTGTCTAAACTACAGTGAATCACTGCTGGAATTAAACGATTCATGTTATTGTTTGCAGGTAATACTGGATTTGACATGGAAAAATTCCGTAGTGAAGAATATCAACGCACATTTCAGTACCTTACACAGTTCGCAGCGGGGCAAAATTTAGACAAATTCTTGTTCATATATGATCCTCGTGTTACCATTGGCGATCCCGTTGATGCCTTAACGATCATGATTAAGTAAGTATATCTGGCGTTTGAGAAATTTTATGAAATTTAGTACTATATAGTGTCAGTTCTCTCAAACGAGGAAATTCTTTTCTATTCTCTCGACCGGATTTAAAAAGATCGCTATATTATCAAACTGATAGCAATAGTTGTCGGGCAGGTAGATATTAAATATGACGAATTGGTTGCAATACTATCATTCAAGCTGGTAACATTTTTGTAGATATTGTGGCATTCGTGATCCATCTTGGGCAGAACTATATCATTTTGTAAACTTCTTGAACGTCCAGCTTCGCGACTGTGAGGAAAGCGTTTTCTGTAACGCTCAGTTAGTGGGTGATCTCTTACAAGGTTTTAAGACTTTTGTTGTTCGTTTCATGATTGAAATGTCTCGAGTAAGTATTTTAATAATGTTCGTTCTCTGCGATTGGTTATCCAATAATTAGTGCTGTATTAAGAAGTACCAAGTAAAATAGCTAATATCTTATGATTATAGTGGGCAACAATGAAAAAAATACATTGATTTACTTATCCCAGTTGGACCAAATATTAGATAATAATTCGTCGAAGGCGAGGTGAATAACGCTGAATAAAAGACGACGAAGTCGAGGTATTCAGTGATATTCACCGAGCCTGAGGTGGATAGTTGTCTTAGTGTAAAGTATTTTCGTTGAAATAACGTACTTCTTCACCTGTCACTTTGGCAAAAACAACTCGCCACCATTTTAAAAAATCCGCTTAGGTGATTATGGCGTAATAATCCAAATCACTCGACCAACCAAAGAATTTTCAATAATCACCCTTGTAATTATACCGGGTGGCGCAAAAAAAGGTTAACCTGTTTAATTGAGTATAACTTTAAAACTAAAACGTCTGTTACACTGAAATAACTTTCTTTAGATTCGTGAATGTGTAACTTAAAATTTGGTATTTACCAATTTTGATACAATATTCCCCGAGATATCAGCGTTTTACTTTTAATACGAATTTTTGAAAAGTACAAAAATTAGTCAAAAATGGCATATTAAATAAAAAAAGGTAACGTTCGTTTTTCATGGCATGACTTCTTGAGCATTGTTTTAACCCTGGCATATTCTGTGAAAATTCAAACTCGCTGTTGTAGCTATCCTTAAACGAGGCGTATTAAGAAAAGAACAAGCACAATTCATGCGAAATTGTTTGTTAAATTTGTGGGCTACCGAACGAATTTTATCCCCCATGGGACATGAAATATTTCGAACAAAGTCTAAACCAAAATAGCTAATTTTTGTTTGTAACGCTTTGCAACATAAAATACACAGAAAATAAAAAACCTAATCCACCTGTCAAATGTTTCTAGTTAAACGTCATTGAAACAGACAGAATATGTGCCATAAAATACTAGGATTTGTCAACTTTTTTTAACATGCCATTTTTAGCTAATTTTTACACTTTTCGAAAATGCATACTTAAATTGAAACCGCGATATCTCAAAATTGCATGAAAAACCTCATGTATGTTATATATCAAATTATGAAAAAAACAATTTTGTGTAATAGCTCTAGCTCTTTGAAGTTATAATCAAACATGGTTAACTTTTTTTTGCGCCACCCGGTACTAAAACGTCTTATTGCATGTGCGTGTAACATCCAAATAATCTGCGTACAATAATCAACCAATTAGAAGCCAGATTTTAATGAATTAATTGCGTCTTTTTCAAACTGTTCATACCACTTCAAATATTTTTTAAAAATTTCCTTTGAAAGTACCGACACTAGGCATTTCAGTCACACTAAATTTCGCTAATTTATTTAAAACAATGATTAATCATTATTCTCGTTCTGCGTTCACATTGTATATTTGGCATTCTGCCACTGTAGGACTTTGCCACACGATCACTAAGTGACAGTAACTTGGGCGTTGATGATACACAAACAGCAGATGAAGATGATGATTTAGCTCCATTTGAAATACGGAAGCGTTGGGAATCGAGGTTCGAAACTTTAGCATAAAGTCATCTTTCACTAAAGGCGGATTTCCACTGACAGCGAAATCGTTCGCTAGCGAAATATTTGCATATTTTCTTTTGAATTGAGAACCGTCAAGTCGAACTAATTTATTTATGCTGTTAAAACTCAAAAGAAAATATGCAAATATTTCGCTAGCGAACGATTTCGCTGTAAGTGGAAATCCGCCTTAATACTATTGACGGTCATATTCCACAGTTCATTATTGTATATGTAAATGAAAGCTGAAACCTAATAACTGTTTTGAACGGCATTTACTAACTTGCAAAATCTTATACCAAAAATTATAGGGTCCTGACACAATTTACTATTTCGTCTTCAACGAACATATTTATATGTTTTAACTTCAATTTTTCAACTATTATGAAGAGGCTAGGTCTTTATATATCCATGACTACCCACAACAACCAAATTTGAATACATTGAATAAAATCTCCAACAATAATACACATGCGTGGGCTCTAGGATATCTGCAAGTATTCATAAAATCTATCTCTTTCTTTTTTGTTACAGTCCTCATCCTTATATATTTTTCAACCATGACCGCGTCAGCATGACCTTCCTTGGATTTCGTCTGAGCGATAATGGTGATTTGCTTGATCCCGCTACCAATAAAGTTTTAGAGCAAAAGATGATGGAGCCAACTTTAAGAGGACAACTTAAGCATCAAGGAGTTAATTTTGACACCAACTACGAGAAACGTGACAAGTTAGTTGTAATAATGGCATGCATTATTAATTTACTACTGCTGAAGCAGCAGGCAGGCTAACCGTTTTCTATACACGTTTCTAAATGTTTTTGTGTATGAAAAGGGTAAAAAAGGGCTATGATCAAAAGCCGTTTCCAAAAATTGGTAATTCTTTGCGCCGAAAAGACGGTAATGGTGTTTAGTTGGTTTCTGTGAGATATTTGACTATTAATCAATATTACTCCTGCATGGGCTCAAAGAATTTCAAATAAAAGCAATTAACCAATTAAAGTTATATTGCTGTAGCCTGGCATGTATCTGAATTATTCATTACCACATTTTGTTTCTGTTAGTCACGCCACTGCAGGACAAATAACTTTTTCTTAACAGGAAAATTTAACGTGTTTTAATTTATTTTTATAAAAGAATGGCGCGTATCGAGAAATTGTGCAGCGTCATGGGAATCGAATTTTTATATGACCCTGATCCTACATACGAATTGACAACCGACAATGTCAAAAAAATCCTGGCAATTCATATGCGATTCAGGTCAGTAACCATCAAGTTTGCATCCGATTGCCGACGGATGGCTGTCAACATAACCTTAAAAGTGTCTCGTGTAAAGCATTGAAGGGTTTAATTAAAACACTTTCTAGTCACATGCAATAACGTTTCCAGCTACTATATATGCAATAACTCTCAGCAATTAGCGATATTTGTTGCACGAGTTTATATTATGCTTCTTCGGGATTGAACAAATACACGTGTCAATGACCAGTCCTTTTTGTTTATTGTGAAGGTGTGGCATACCAGTAATTATCATGGGAGAGACTGGATGTGGCAAAACTCGGCTTATTAGATTTATGTGTGAACTTCAAGCTGGGCCCGAAGGACCGAAAAATTTGTTACTCATGAAGGTTTCTATACTTCTTATATTTATCAATTAATCCAGTAGACCCAAGGCAAAGTATAGTATATTGTTGCGAGACGATCGTGGAACAAACTGGGAATGCAACTTCTGTTTTGGAGAAAATATCGCGAAACACATGCATATCTTTCCTGATTTGCTCAGAGCTTTTCAATTAATAGAGATCTGAATATATGTAACTGGATTTTTTAATGACTTTTTCTGAGAAGACATACTGCATGCATTCATGTTATCCAGGGGTCAATACGCAATGTGGTAATCATGCAAAAGCAATTTGAGTAAGACAATGAATGTCAAAACCGTATTTTAAGTAAGTTAAGAGAAATTGACGAAATTGCGATTTAAGCAAGACCATTTAAAAGAAAGCGAATGACGTAAGTAGTTTATAACGGACAAAAATATGGTTGTAGCTATTTTTGACCCTCCGAGCTTAAATATGCTAAAATTGCTTGTGCAAGAATAAGTATGCAAAAAACTGCTAAAGTTTCAACCTTTGATGCCTTAAAAAATCATCAAGACAGTAAAAAATGCTTTTAAAAGTACTAAGCATCATTTGTTTTTTTGTTCGAAGATTTATGCAGTTGATTCCAAAGTTTGGAAGTGGTATTTTTGCAATAAAATTCATACTTTCAAAATATAATTTATACTTTTTATAATTTATAATTTTTCGATGTTAAATTTTGAAGTTACAGTTCTTCATTGACAATTATATTTGGACATATAACAAGCTCATATACGAATAAACTGCATCCTTCAGCAAAATAATGCGGAATAACAAAAGACACCTAAGCGTTTAAAACAGCTTATAGATTGTATAGATATTCCTAATTATTTTTATTCGATCTCTTTTCAAATTTCATTTTGCATAAAGTTTATAAAACATTTTGATGAAAAGTTTGAGAATTGACCGTTAAATTGGAGACGTTATTACTGAGATACAATTTTCGTCATATAGCCATGCACAATCAGGAGGTTATTGACCACCAGTCTTCACGCGAACGAATTTGACGCGGGTGCATAGCTAACATAACCATCCAACGTCCACAACGTAGAATTTGGACGACTTTGTATTCTGCTATGTTCTGACACAATACCCGGGTGTAATTCCTAATTTCCGAGCGGAATTAGTACCCTAGAACAACGCTCCGCGCTGGCTATAAGTTTGAAGTTTAGGTGAATATGCCGTAGGTTAAAAACTTTTTGATTGATTGATTATTTTAATGTATGTCTTTGCCTGTATTAAGGTACATGGTGGAACTAGTTACTCAGAAATTGAAATGAAAGTGGTAGAAGCAGAGAAAAGAGCTTTCTTCAATCAGAAGATCAATGTTGATACTGTCCTGTTCTTTGATGAAGCCAATACAACAGATGCAATTGACCTCATCAAAGAAATAATGGTCGATCGAAGGGTGAATGGACGTGCTATAAATCCTGAACTGACGAAACTGCATTTCATCGCTGCTTGTAACCCATATCGAAAGTAAGTCGAAACAGTGTGGAGTACGTTTCTTCCCTTCTCTGAAAGTCGTTCCGATTCCTCTTCAAAAGGGTGTCATAAATGGAAATTATTTTATATTGCCGTACCTTTTTGCGCAGTGATAGAAATTTCCAGAAATACAATTCAACCCAGGCAAAATAACTTCCTAAGCTAGCATTATAAAAATTACTGAAACACAAGCCAAGCATGTGTGATTTAGCAATAATTTAAAAATCCAATATGGTGTCCCGTATAAGAAATGAGTGGGCAATTATTAAAATTTGTTTTCTATGTAACCCATAATTGAGTCATGTTTGTCCACGTCCAAAACATCATCAATTTTATCGATCTTTAACAACTGAAAATTTGAGGACAAGTCAAGATGCCCAAGTATGTTCCCGAGAAAGAATATTTTTACGATTGAAATTGTATAAGAAAGTGTACACTCCGAGCATATTAGGTACCCTACAGCTCCAATTTCTGCTCGTTTTTGCAGGCATCGGCAAATGTCCACGTCAGCGTTGGTTCATAAAGACTTAAGCTTTATTCACATCGCATTTTGGAAGCTTAAATGACGCTTAAATGTGTTCCACAGCGCGATGAAATAAATCAATTTCGTAGAGTGATTTTCGATAGCCATTATTTTATTTTAGCTGTTGCTATGATACAAGCCACACTGATCTAAATAATTAACTTAAAACTGAACCGCATGAGCCCACACACCTCACCGCTTACCGGCCTGCATTTCTGGCCACTTCTTGTATTACTATATAGCATTGATGAGAATATTGATAATGAACTTGTTTTAGGCACACGAAGGAAATGATCCAGAAACTAGAATCTGCAGGGTTGGGGTATCATGTATCAGCTGATGAAACTGATGATAAATTAGGTATCACCACAAGAAAGACATTAGTAGAAAATGCAATTAAAATGGAGTTTGATTCATTTTAGCATACAATTTTCCTAAAAAATAAACACTTTCACAACGCTCTTCCACAGGTTCAATTCCACTCCGTCAACTTGTGTATCGAGTCCACCCCTTGCCAGAGAGCATGAGACCGCTAGTTTGGGACTTTGGCCGACTTACAGATCACACAGAAGAACTTTATGCTGCGCAGATTGTGCGGAGGTCTATGGTTGCGACAACGTCAGATGTAAGTAGGACGGTCAGTATTATATTACGAGCGAAACAGAACTGGAAAAAAATTCAAATATTCATTGTAAGCACGTCATATTGAATTGAACACGACAAAAATATGTGATGTTTCAAATTAAAATGAAAGATACAGAAAGTTCATATGACAAACCATATATATTAATTTTTTAAAAGCGTACTTATCTTTTATTATAGTTCACCTTTTACTTCCTATTTCATATATTACGTAGGTTACATTTGATGGAACCGAAGCCCAAGCATCTTGTATTGCTAAAGTGCTGTCAGCTTCACAGAAATATATGCGTGAACAAAAGGTGCATATTCCGTGTATTGCCACTTATTCCTTAGTTGAACAATATTTTATAGACAGTTACAATGGATGACAGTTTATTTTCCGCCCGTGCATGCAAGAAAAGGGAGATAAAATATAGAGCATGAAAAAAACACGAAAGAAACGAATTGATTTCCAACTGATTATGACTAAAAGTAAATTCTTGTACCTTGTTAAACGGGCTTTTTTTCTCTTCAGAACGAGTGCAGCTTTGTCAGTTTGCGTGATGTTGAAAGAGCGATGAAGGTTATCACCTGGTTTTATTCGAACTCTGAATTGATCATCCAAATTATTGGTGATGTAGATGAAAATGGTGATAAAGATAGTAGTTCTGAAGAATCTAGTGAAGAAGAAGATTATAAGTCTGATGAAGAATTTGAGACAGGCGAACAAGTACGTATATATTACATATGCCGGAGTTTAGTGTAAAACAAGACGATTGATACACTGTAAATACGCTACTGTCCGCGCGGAAGACTAAGCCTTCGACACGAAAAAATAATAATAATAATAATAATCGCAAAACCTGGACTCGACTAGGATCCAATAATTAACTGACGAGGGTCGAAGAACTAATATGTGTAATTTTAAAATCACTGTGTACATAAATATCATGACATTTTCATGTTTTCGTCAAGAAGAATAGTGTACAAAATTGTAATGTATTTCGATGTTTTTGCTTTTCAGCCCTTAAGTCAAATTGCTCGTGCACTAATCCTGGGGATTGGTGTTTGTTACTATGCCCGATTAAATACAAGAGAAGCATATTGTCAAGAAATCTCGAGATATTTTGACAATTCCTGTCCTCTTCCGGGAGGTGGACGTAGAATGCAAAGGGAAATCGAGAGGTAAGTGTCATCTTATTTTAGAGGTATAGTCACAGGCATTTCAAACTCGCTAAATGCCGATTTGCTACACAGATACTGGAGGAAAATACTAGTGTACTAAAAACAAGTTAACATTTGTTAACGGGCAAATAATCATTGATATTTCTACCCTAGGTCCTGGTATCCTAGGGTATTTCTGCCGTACGTTGTATGTTGTATTCCCTGACAAAAAATGATTAAAATACCCCGCACAACTTACATGCATGAATCTGGTTTTAGGTGTCAACGTGGATTTTTGAATGACATACAACTGGGTCAGAATATCGCCAAAAACATCGCTCTAAGTGAGAACGTCTTTATGATGGCAATTTGTACCGAGTTACGCATCCCGTTGTTTGTTGTCGGCAAACCTGGCAGTTCAAAATCTTTAGCGAAAGACGTTATATCCACCAACATGAAAGCTGGAAACTCGCAAAGCGAATTGTTCAAAAACTTAAAACAGGTTGGTGCATGAATTATACGTGAAGAGGTTAATTTCTGCATAGATAATTATTCATCAGCATGATAATTGGTCTTAATCCTTAATTTTACGTGCCAGTTGGGCCGATCACAGATATACACATTTTTTTGCAATGTTTTAATATCCGTGAAATTGCTTTATTACCCATATTTACTGAAGATTGTCAATTAATGTCATTGTTGTAAACGTTAGTCGTTTCTCTTTACTACCAACACCCTAGCTCTAACTAATTTGAATATAGATAACGTCCAATATTTAAATCGATGCCTGTTGAATCTAAGGTCTCTCCAAAGGGGAGTGTATTTTCCCTGTTAATGGTAGCTATAATGAAAGGTTGAAATGTTTTGTATTAGTATTTTAATCGTTTGCAAACTTGACGTTGACTGCTGTACTTTTCATAGATCCACATTCAATCGTACCAATGCAGTCCATTATCCACGCCCGAAGGCATCGTCTCTACCTTCAAACAATGTGCTAAACTACAAAAAGACAAAGACTTAAAAAAGTTCGTGTCTGTGGTAGTATTAGACGAAATTGGATTGGCCGAGGACTCTCCTCTGATGCCTTTGAAAACGCTCCACCCTTTATTAGAAGATGGCACGGCAACAACTGAAGAATCAGGGACAACATCTGATTATCACCGCGTTGGTTTTATCGGTTTATCCAATTGGGCATTGGACCCCGCCAAAATGAACCGTGGAATTATGTTGAGTAGAGGAGTACCAAATGAAAAGGAGCTGCAAGACAGCGCCAGGTTTGTGAGGGCTTCCTTGTCAATCAGATAAAATTTGAAATAGTATTTGTTTTATCAAAATTCAAAACCCTTACATGTGCGAGCTCATATATATACATCTTCTTTACATATGTATAAAAAGACTTAACATGCAACCTGGGTCATCCTTGCTTGTCCTTTTTTTGACTGTATGATAATTATAGTACATGCAAATAGTTAAAGAAGCTACCTTAAAAAGTTAAAAAACTATATAGTGTGAAAATAAGTACCATAATTAACATATATAAACATTTCTCTTAGCTAATCAGGTTACGTTTTCACATTTGTATGCTATTATCGTAAAGTAAAATGTTATCGGTTATCAAATATTTTTGTTCTTAGTGGAATTTGTTCATCTGACCAAGAAATAAAACTACGTCTTGAGACAACTATCTCAAGGTTATGCAGAGGGTATTTTGAACTTTACGAGAAACAAAGCAAGTCAAAAACACTAAAAGAAGCTCAAAAAGATGAATTCTTTGGACTTCGGGACTTTTACAGGTTGAAGTATCAATGATTTATTAGAATTTCAATATGAAAGCAGTTCGCTCAATAAACATTTTTGTTTGCATAAATGTTCAACTATAGATACGCTAGAATTATATCAAGCAGCGAAACTTTTTCCCCAGTTATGAGCTCAAATCATATATCAGAGTTTTATGTATGCATTTTACTACAAAAATCTGATACATCCATTTAAACATTCATCTTCATTTAATATAAAGTAATTCGAGAACTTATGAAGGTATGGAAAACCGGTGTTTGTCATATATATGCATGATTTTTTACTCTGTTTTGCAGCTTAGTAAAGATGGTGTTTGGTTTTGCTGTACAAAAAGAAGAGCAGGGTGATCAAATCAGCGATATAGAACTGGAAAAATCCATACGGAGGAATTTCAGTGGCTTAGATGACATTGATCCAGTAAAAACATTTTGTAAACATTTTCAAAGACTTAAAGAGAGTGTTAAGGTAAAAATGTAAAATGCTTGATAATACATAGAATAATACATGGATGCGCGAAAAATATGGAATTTATGTCGAGTGTTCAGTATATACGAGAAATAAATTCCATATTTTCCAAGCATCCATGTATTTTTGTTTTTATTACATAATAAAAAGTTTTTTATCCTCCAGTGCACGTATACCTTATTCCTCATTCGTGGATCAAACCCGATAATCGCACAATCATGTGTTATTATCTGCCTCGTACCCAGGCGCTTATTTAAAATTAGGCTTTTTAATATATTAAGCTTAAATGAAGTACTTAGCAAAGCGTAAAGCGCGAAGGTGTTCATGGGAAGATTGCGCCCTGGGGAGCGCCTGGCAGATCTTGTATTCCGTCATGGCGGATGACGTAGTAAACGAAGCAGAAAACTTAAAAAATCCTTTTGATCCCGCTAGTAGACCAGTTCACAAAGCTTTTCTAAACAAAAAGTTGCCATGCCCTCACGCATTTTGTGCGCGAAATTATTTCTATTTTGACCAGAATGGCAGAGTGGCTCTTTATCATAAAAAACCTCGAGGTTGCACCTTGTTTGTTTACCTGAAGAAACACAAAAATGAGCATAAAGTTATTCAAACAATCTATAGTGTAACATTCCATATGGACCACATGTTATATAATTTAGACAACAAGAATAAATAACAGAAAATACTGTATCATACCATACATTCATTTATTCATTATTACTTAAAAACATAGGAACATAGGTGAACGAATACATACTTGAAACGTGAGTACGTTTACTTTTTGGCAGGCCCGCACTTTTCGACTTTGGCGTCAAGTCGTGTTTTAAGCTTTGACCTTGTGAAGCATCCGGCGATGAGGGTCGTTGAAAATTGCATGCAATACGTCGTGCTGATCGACGAGCAGCTCTTGGTTCGTCTGTGGATCATTAAAAATAATCAGAGAGGTGAAAATGTAGACATAGAAGGTTAATAAAAGGTGCTGTATATCACAACAATCCAGCAGCTTGTCGAATTTTTCATACCTTGAAGATTTAATCTATCCAAAACATTGTCGACCTCTTCAAATGATGACATATTGCTGCTTCAGGGCATCAGATAAAAATATTTACCACTTCTCACATGGCGAATGAATGTTTATTGTAATGAAGGAGATATTATTTTGTGAATAAAAGCGAATAAAAGCGGAAAAAGTTGCGAAACGACGTGAATTTAGATGATTTGCAAGAAATCGACTTTTATTGCAAGAAATCGAACAAGATCTGCCAGGCGCTCCCCAGGGCGCAATCTTCCCATGAACACCTTCGCGCTTTACGCTTTGCTAAGTACTTCATTTAAGCTTAATATATTAAAAAGCCTAATTTTAAATAAGCGCCTGGGTACGAGGCAGTGTTATTATTATGAATAATCGCACATGTGTTGTTATCGCTTTTCACAATGGCGGATTCGCTAATAAAACACTGCATATTATATAATGAAATATGATAATATTTCTTTTGAAAGCGTCCTTCTCCTGAATGCTTCCCGGTGAATCTCATCCAAGAAAGCCTTGTTAGAACCGAAAAGGAAGGGTGCGTTGAATTGCTAATTTTTTTTTTAAGTATATTTGGGGTTTTACATTTTTAGCGAAAACAATTTTTTGCAATCAATTTTCTAAACGATGTTTTAAACCATGAGGAGATGTTAGTTTAGTTGGGAAAAACCTTTAGTTTACATTTACAAACAATATATTTTGCACTTTTATTTTTTAGAGAAAGTCGCTATTTACTTGTTCTAACTGAGAACTACGCAGCACTAAGATTATTGCAGGGGCAATTTTACCAGCACGATCCAGTTATTATTTTTGGAAGCAGTTTCCCGAAAGATCAACAATACACACAGGTACAGTATTTTGACAGTTTATTTTATAAATATATCTTCTATAAATATATCAATGATTATTGCTAAAGAGAAGTGAAACGTGTATATCTTTTTAATTGTGATAATTGCCATGATTATATATACACAAGCGCTGGATATGAGCTAATATATGCAATCTGATTGGCTCTCTATTTCATAGATATTGGCTAATAACTTTCTAGACAGTAGGGAAACGTAAAAAAATGGCTGAAAGATTTGGGCCAGTAAATTCAAGTTTTACTTTATAAAATATATCAAAATGCACTGAATTAAAGAGTGACAAACTTTGGATGGAAAGTATTCAACGGTATAGGTTTACCAAATATACGGTTTTGTTTCCGTTATTCTGTTTTAAAATGTTTAAAAAAACGAGGTACAGCATTTAATTATCCAATTTTTAAAAACGTGTATTTAGTAACTAATTAAATTACGAATAAATTTGAAAGTTGTTTAATCCAGCGCTTGTGTATATACGACTTCATTTCTGTTTAAAATTAGTTACAAGATCACTGTCGCATGTATTCTAATTTGCCTTAATTCCAGTCATACGTATTAGCATTATTGCTATACATAATTCCCTGGGATTTTTACCCTAAAATACGTTGAGAAAAGGCCTTGGGTACAGTTTTCTGACCACTTGATTAGTATACTGAGCGTTTGGTAATCAATTCATTTGCCTTTTTGAGGAATACCCAATGTAAATAAATCGATTTATAGCGGAGGACTTGCATATACGACTTCAGTTCGCAGGATATAACTGTTGAAAATCTTCCTTTTTATAGATTTGTCGAAACATCAATCGAATTAAAGTATGCATGGAAACTGGAAGAATGGTGATTTTACTCAACTTAGAAAGCCTTTATGAAAGTTTATATGATGCATTAAATCAGGTATAGCTACAGATATAGTTACAGCGGTTTTTCATAATTATAATAATAAAGAATTTCTGGATCCTGATTAACTGAAAACTGTGCAATTTCATCATTGATTAATAAGATTACTCGCACTTTCGCCCAGGCGATAATTCCTGGAGTAAAAAAATAATTCTATACGAAAATACGATGTTTTTACTTTTATACACTTAATTTCTCTCAAAAAATTAATTGACTAATGAAAAATGTGACCTATACAGATGTCAAAATATTTTTTTATTTTTAATTTTATTATTTCTAAATTATTTTTACTTCTTGAAATGTTCAAAATCCTATTCGAATGAAGTAATCTAATTTTTCCAATGGAAAAATGAACTGCTTTTCACTGGGTTTTCTTTGCTCAGACGAAAATGAACATCCTTTCTTTTAATTCATTTATGATTGTCTTTAATGTAGTATTACGTGTATCTTGCCAATCAAAAGTATGTTGACCTTGGCCTGGGAAACCACAGAGTGAAGTGTAGAGTGGCGAATGAATTTAAGTAAGTATTTCAAATTATACATTCATTATAGGTATTTACACTGTGATTTTTATGACAGTAGATAGCTGCAGTAAATTTGATGGGAGTAATATGCCAAAAAATTATGCTGTACCAAATTTCATAGATCGTACCATTTTTTTTCGTAATGAAAAGAATCATAGCAAGAAATTTTAAGCGCTATTTTTGACAGCCCTATATATAGGGAAGTGGAATTAAATGTTTTTTCTTGATGATATTTTCCCCTTTTATTTGAGGCATGTTCAATTTCAAACGTAGCTAATTTCAAACAACGCCTCTAAATTGTTCAAATTGTTCCATTAATTGTATTGGATAGGTTGATTGTGGTTGCTGAAAAGGATGTTGTTTATCGTCGATTTCCAATTCCTCTTATCAATCGACTGGAAAAGCATTTACTTGTAATGTCAACTGGCCTAACAAAACACCAAGCTGTTTTGGTCGAAAAACTGCAAAAGTGGGTCAAAATTTTCTCAGAAGCATCTCCCGAATTTTCATGTAATAAAAGGTGATTTAATTGTTTTGTTCGATATGAAGTGTTTCACATTCATTAGATTTTTTTAAATATAATATTTGATGGGGAGTTGTTATTTGAGGCAACCCCGTCCAGCTTCATTCTGTGGAAATTGTAAAACTGTATCGTTGTCCGAAAAATCGTTTAGCCGAAGACATTAGGTGATCCCCTGAGGGCCCTGTACTATATAGACTTTTTCTTACCATTCCATTGCATCCGCGCACTCTTTTTGAGCTCTATTTGGAGTGTATTTGCAATCGAATGCTGAAAAATGCGATACATATTCTTAAACAATTATGTATGTACATCCATATAGCCTATTCACGCCTGGTGATTGCTTTGTTGGTTACCATAGCGACACTGCCGCTGCAGTGATCATCAAAATTTCGAACATTGAAAAGGATTGGCCTGATGATCAGGTAAGAGTTTTTGAACACACCGAGTTTCGACGGTCAATATTATTTTAATATTCGTACTTTGCGTCGATCTACTTTTCGCTGATTTTTGTATTTCAGGGCTGTTTGTGCCATTTCACATCACTGGTAAACGAGTGACATGACACACGACAGGTTATACTATATTATCTCATCTGATTATTTCGTAGATTCTTCTGCATTCAAAACTCGCGCTGTTGCAGTGTGCATCGCCTGATGCTATCGCTAGACTACCAGCGACAAAAATGAAACGTGATGCGGAGGAACTCTGGAATGTATATTTCAAAACTCAAAGACATGGAAGTTTGAAAGACTATTTGGTTGATTGCCTAGATAAAGTTACTTCTGAAAAACATGGATCTCTTATACAAGTTAGTTGTCTAAGTTGTCTTTTTGCACTTTTCTGTGGCGGATCTAGGGATAATCAGAATAAATTACTACAGCAATTAAAATCGCAATCTCATTGGTGAATTTTTATTTAAAAATATCCTTTTGAAATCCATAACCAATAGCGTTCTTATTATGGTGTGTTGAATTTAAAATTTAGTTGTGTAATTTATTCTGACTACCCCTAGATCCGCCACTGTAATAAATTCTGTCATTGTAAAACGTTCGAGTCTGATGCATTTATGCTTCAATAATAAATTACCTTTATACTATATTTACTGCGGTGTTCATGCAACACACATGATGAGAAATTTTAACCAATCAAATCGAGCCCATGCCAAATAGAAATCCGTACGGAAGAGCTTCGCGCGCTTAGAAACAGAGATCGAAGGTAAAAATTATTGCCGACGTTTCTTGTTTTCTGGGAAAGTTCAAGCACTGAAGTGCAATTTACTCTTCTTGCCTGTTACTTTGTAATATTTCGACCATGTCTTTGTGAACCGTTTCAAAAGAACTTGGATTTTCTCAGGCACTCTCAAGCGGTAAATTGGGCCCTTTCATTGCAGCGCATTTACGTTCGTATAGATAACCACACACTCAAGATTGTTATCGCCAGGAAATTCACGTTCCATAGCATCAGATGCTGGATTCAAAGGTCCAAATGCTCGTTGTATTAGCCTTCAAGAATTTAACACAGAACAACAATTCACCAAAACATTAGAGTAAGTATTGATGTTGTTAATGGCAACGCCAGTATAATTTCATGCATGTATATAGCTATTATGTGTAAAATTTACAATTATAGTCGCAGCGATCGAAGCGTTCCGAAAACGTTAAGCAATTTTTTTCATCATACAAACTTATAATATGGCTGTCGTTTAAAAAGAGCCAATCAGCTTTAGTAAGTAAGTAAGTAAGTAAGCGACTTTATTAGGGTAAACACTTGACAGTAACATTAAAGTTTCTGATAAACTATAGTGGCCCTCAAATAGCTTTCTATTTTCAATTTAAAAATATGACGAAGGTATAGGCAAGGTTTCCTCAGCATAGGTTTTGAAATATATTTGCCACAAATCTAAAAAACATTCACGTTTTATACATGCATAGGAATACATTTGAATGCTAAAAATATAGTATAAATGTAGTAAAATTATTCAAGTTTAATGTGTTGTACTTTTTTTTTTCTTATTCGCCATATTTTTATGAAATATTTTCGGTTTTGTGAAGGTGTTCGAGTTAACCGTCGTGCGTTTTTAGCTTATTTGGCGTGAGAGTTGCCAACCTTGTCATAATATAAGACTGTTCAGTCAACATGAGCGTCGCGCGAGGTCAGCGAGATCAGTTCTTGGCCGCCTATGATCCAACGAACTCTTTTCCAACCATTCTATGTTATATGCTAATGCATGATTTGTTTAAGGATGTGCCTTGCATAGACTGTTCTAAACCTGTTTGCACTTTTCCTTTTGGGTTGTTATTGTGTTTTACATTCCCAATAATTTATTATTCCCATAATAAATTATTGGGAATAATTATGATTTATTATTACATTCCCAATAATTTATTATTTATTTATTAACAATAATATATTAATATATTAACTGGTTTGGGACTCGTGTAACTTCTCGCTAATACCTGTATCCCAAAAGCTCATTTTACACTCATTGTGTACATGTGTGACTTGAAAATTCTGTTATTGCATGCCAATCCATGCGTGTACGTTCCTAATCGTCAGAAATACAGTATATAAGTGATTTATTCGAGTGGAAATGCTGTCATGAAATTATTTCATCACATTTTAAGCACTTATTTTCATAATTTTTTTAGAGAATTTTTTGTTTCACTTGGTGGTGCTGAAGGTCTCCTTCTTGTCCAATGTGATAATGGCGAAGCGAATTTCAACTTAATCGCCTGCTGTCGACATCTTGTTGATGATACCCGACGTCGTAAAATTGAAAGTTTTGATGGGCCTGTTAAGCCTATCCACGTCGTATTTATTATTCAGTTACCAAAGATTGCTGGTGGTTGTCAACACTTTGTAGGGTTTCAAGGTGGAAAGTGGCTGTCGATCCATATTGACGAACTTCTTGAATCGAGCGAACAGCTTCCACAAATTGAACAGCTTATGAACCGCTCTGTGAGTGATTTATTCAAGCCAGTAAACCTTGCAAGCAGTGATGATATTGAGAGCATGGATGTTGATGAACATTATGATGGGGACGTGCGTATGGAGGACATTGAATTAGAGGTATGTAGTATTAAAATTGCTTGCTCATCATATTTCGTTTTTGTCAGGTAAGTACACTATAAATAACCATGGAAGACCAGCCATAAATAACATCCATAAATAACCACGGAAATAAACAACAATAAATAACCACGGAAGACTATCAGTAGCGTAGCCAGCCTGACGATTAAATTGATTATAAATTTCGAGTTATTATAATTGGTCACGTCTTTAGAAATTTACTGTTTTCACAGTCAATGGACAAATATTAGCAAGTGGCACAAAATCGTCAGGCTACAATAGCTACGCCAAAGAAGACAATTTTCATCATTTTATCATTCTCCCAATGCAAGCATTTTTTTTTATCATATAGGAATCAAATGAAAAACAAACTGCTCTGAGCGAAATAAAGGCAGCATTGCTACTGAAAAATTGTCTGCAGGCTGCCGCAGCAAGAATCTACGATGAGTCAGCGGAGATTGACAGAGCCACGAAACGCATAGAAATATTGCTTGAGTTTTTACCAGAGGATGATACACAAGAAACAGGTTTTTTGATGATTATTGTTTTTACTCCATCATTTAAATGTTAAATAAAAGGGAGGATTCTTCCTTATATCATTTAGTAAGATCCATGAGCATATAAATGCAATGGACAAGTTGGTAGGCCAGTGTTTGCACTGTCCTAATTTGGTTTTAAAAAGACTTAGGCAGCTGAGCAGCTTACTGTGCAATTATCTAAAGATTTATCAATGTTCTGAACAATAATACTACACGGAGGTGGACTACATATAGCCTATATAGCCTTGTTTTGTTTGTGAAAATTCCTAAAATTTCATCCAGAAATGTCACGATGTCGTGGCTATAGAATAGTATTACCACGATACCATATAATTAAACCAATCGCGTGAGTAGATTTAGGCCAATGCACGAAGATTGTATATTAATCATGCATAAAGAATGTTTCAAAATAAATCAAAATCATTCTTAAGGTGGCTCCCTACAGTTTCTCGAAATTTTAAGCAGGGATATGAAGCATCTAAATGTTTGAGTAGAAGACTAAAATTTTATGTACGTTTCTGGCAACATATCTAGAGCCGAATTCTCTTGGCAGCCGTTGCTATGGCAACAGAGATGTTTCAAAATGACCGCCAAATAGAGTTAAATTGAGTTTATATTGCAAACGAGTTTGATGACGTCCAAATTTTTTTCATTAAAATTTTAGACTGTAGATGATTTATTCTATTCCAAAAAACGTTATTTTAGCCCTTTAAAAAAATTGCGCTTGAGAGAATTCTTTTAAAACTTTACTTTCGATTAATCAGCTATAGTGTAAAATTTTGAGGAAAAAAAATTTGGGGGTCACCGAATTCGTTAGCAATATAAACTCGATTTAATTCTATTTAGCGGCAATTTTGAAACCTCTCTGTTGTTATAGCAACGGTTGCCAAGCACAAGTTCTGAATAGATTTTGACTTTAGATATGTTGCCTGATATATAGGTATATAAAATTTTAGTCTTGTACTCAAACATTTAGATGCCTAATATCCCTGCTTAAAATGTGCATCTAAAAATTTCGAGAAACTGTAGCCACCTTAAATACCGTGAGTAATCTAGCTAGTATATAGAACGAAATGGTTACCCTAAAGACTATTATCGACATATATTATTACGTTGAAGGAAGCATCTCAAGTTGGCCTAGTTTTAAACGTTAAGCTACCGCAGATTTGAACTTCTTTACCCAAAAGCTACATTCCGTCTTACTAAAGTAACGCCCTTCTTATTGTCAATTGGGGAAAATGCTCTTCTAAACTTCATATATAGGTCTTGTGCATTGGTAGACATGTAGGTGTCGCTAAGATTTCAATAAAGTTCGAAAGCCTTCGCAATTGTATTACTAAATTTATATTTTCAGAGCTTTCCCAAATCCTAGCATCTCGTGTTTATGGATTACTCGTGGAACGGGACGAGAAATGTTTTCAGGATCAGAAACTCTGGCTACAACACGAGGCATTGTCTCAGGGGCATCTCCAGGAAACTGGGACATTCAGAAAAGCGTTATGGCAGAAACTTTCCTCGATTGTTTCCCCGATATTGTCTGAAGTGATAGCATTCTGTGATCGAAATCACAACCTCAATATACCGCATGAAGGAAAGGATTGGAAATCGCGATTGTGGTTTTGGATGCTTAGTGAAGTACAAATTACGCCTTTAACTTACGATTCGTTTATTTCCCCTGAATCACAAAGAATAAGAGAAAGAGCCTTTGTTCAAAATACAGGCTTTGGACATCGTTTTAACGGGAAGTTTCCGTTTTCATGGATCATTAAAGATATAGTCAGCGATCTTTTAATAAAAGTTGCAGGTACGATCTTTTAACAAAAATTGCATCTAACACGTAATTTCTCCTTCAAACAAACTTACTAAATTTTTTATTGCTCTTCAGTCGCGGTTCGAATGAACCATACATGCAAGCAGCACCTCGCCATTTCCAACCAAGGAAATAATCTCCTGGGCTAGTCACACCTAGCCTAGCTATAACAATAAGTTTACATTATGGAATAAGAATGCGTCGCTAGCTAATCATTTGGTACAAAATATAGTCATAACATTAAAGTGTATGTCACCAATTTTCTGCAGACGTTTTATAGACCCTACACGCTTGCGGAGCTGTTAAAATTTCAACTTTTGAGGTTTCAGAAGGACATCTAAACAGTATCAAGCTCGTATACCAATAAACGGCATCCTCTACCTATACCGCACCGGTTTAAAACATTTCAAAGCTTTACACAGTTTATAAATAATTTCTTTTTCGCTGTTTGATTTTGAAGAGCAACCATTTTTGTTTTTGATAACAGTTTTCCGAATTGGCAGTTAAATTGCTGACGTTATCATTGAGATACAAATTTCGGTCTCGGCCAATCAGTAGGTCCGCTTATTAACGGTTTTCTTTCGTTTAAATTTCGGGCATGCGCATAACTAACAAAACCACCCAACGTCCACGACATAATATTTGGACAACTTTAGATTCCGCTATGTTTTGTTACGTTACCCGCGTGTAATTCCTAATCTTTCAGCGGAATTACTACCCTTGCTGGCTCGGGGGTTAACCCAGTTATGGCTTGCTAACTATGAAATAGCATACTTGCATTTTTGTAATGTAGGCGACCCTTCAAAGACACTGCTTCAATTAAGAGGGATCTTTTACCAATCACCACTGGGAAATTACCTGAAAGTTATATTTGAAGACAAAGAGAATAAAAAGGAAGTAACAGAAAACTACCTTCATGATTTTCTTCACATGATGTACAAACCAATAGAGAATGGAGAATTGCAGGTAAAAAGCGCATGTTTATCCCGCGCTGTAAGGTCTTAAGGAGAATTCATTCCTCTGCACTTTGTTAATAAATATATTTCATTTAATTGCATAAAAGGCCCACACACATTGAACGCGATTCCCCAACGCGACTCGAAATTTCGACCTTTTAAAGCAAATAAACCCAATTCTGGACGGAAATTTGGAGAGCAATGGGCCCTAGACATGTAAAATGTAACCTCAGCTTGACTGTTCTTATCTTAGAAATCCAAATATTTCGAAATATTTTGCCTGCGTTTTTCGAATTGTGAGCAATAAAGAAGATATCATTTATTCAAGAGGTTGCAATTCGAAATATGCGAAATATTTTGCATTTCACAGAGAAAAAGCGCCCGTGTTTCAGCTTGATTGAACACAATTCCAAAGACGCAGCCGAAATATTTGCATTTCTCTTGAAAATTTTGCTTTGAATCAGGGCTTTGAGCCTACACAGACAGGAGACGATTTTAACGCGACGCAAATCCTCAGTTTTTTTAAGCAAAAAATTCTGGAAGGAAACTTTGAGAGCTACGGGTCCCAGACATGTACATGTCCAAAGAACGTTTCGTTCAGTAATTATCGAGAATATCATAACATGTTCAAAATTAGTTGGTTTTTGAAAACTCAAAAATTCGTAAAAATCGCGTCACGTTGGCCGATCGCGTCCGGTGTCTCGACCTCACATTTTACGATTAACGAAGGCAATTATTAGAGTTTTATTTTGAACTTTGTTTTCCCTATAGTTGATATACGATGCCTCTTTCGAAGCTTCTGGGCAAATACATCAATTGCTGCACGAAAATGAAGATTTTGACATTGACATTCCTTTTATTCATTTCACTTACTCCCTCATTGAAGCTCGTTTGGCAAGATTTTCTGATCTGGTTCATGCTTTTCCTGGTCTAGTGAAAGAACTACTAAGGCTAAGCGATCGGTTGAAAGTTGGAGAAATGGTATGGTAAATGGTAGGGTAAAGGGTTTTTACCATTGATTATAGAAGACATATAATTAAATGAGCAATTATGATTTTTAGATACTGGATACGGTAGCACTTGAGTATTGCTTACAGAAGTTGGAACCAACACCCAAAGATCTGGAAAGCAGTGGTAATAGATCATGTTGGTGCAACCGTGTTCAGCGTGTTGGCCAAGTTGTGAAAGATTTAAAAAGTCTGAAATATAGCTGGAAACAACAACAGAACAAAGATGGCAACCAAGCTGGATTTGTTACTCACCTGTTTGGGGAAAAATCAATTGTAATTTTTGAAAAATGCAGGTGTGTATACCCTCAATAATATAACAGAGTTTTTATAAGAAGAAGATAACATTAACATACCGAAGTTTAAAAAAAATCTCTACTGAAGCTTCCAAATCTTTCGCTTTCCGAGCTCTCCAAGCTTGGGAGGCTCATTAAACTCAAGGATTGGGAGGATCTGCAGTATATAAGCAAAAAATCTGGTATAATACTTTGTTATATGATTTTTATTTCTTCTTACGCGAGGTAGGAGATCTTTACAAGCTTTTACTAAAGTTCACTAATGTTCTCTTCTTTCTCCGTTCTTCTCTTCTCTTCTGATTATTCGTCCTTTCGGATCTCGTTGTTTTCTGTTCTTGTCTTCTTCGTCAGTTCTGTCGTTGAGCTTCCTAACGTTTCATAAGTTAATCTTTACTCCGTCAGTCCACTAAAGGTTTGGGTGTTGTGCACGCCCTTTTATAGTAACGGTTGAGGAAAACTTGCAGATGTCATCAACCAGAGTGGGCTGATTCTTATCCAACCAATCAGCGTTGTGAGTTAGAAATGTGGGTTGGTCTTAGAAGCTCGTTCCAGCTCTCTCTTGTTTGTTTAAGGCGTTGTCGCACTAGTCGAGTTGGTCTTCTGCTCAATCGATCAATACTTAAAATGTTCACAACTTAAAATATTTATCATCAACAACTAGTAAAATTTACAAATAATACGTCTGTGAACAATATCTTTCAACTTAAACTATTTTCACTCTTATTTTATCGAACTGAACTTTTGATGACGTAATCTATTACATGCTTGACCGAGCAACATTTTTAACACAATTGATTGACATATGAACTTGAATGGCCTACAGCACGCACACTTTTTATAAAAATGCAACCATTAAGATAAGTGAAGACTTAAGACTGTTTATCCAGGTATTAGTTCTGAGAGGATTATAAATATTTTCCTCTTATTACTTATTTAATCCCACGATATGTCATACATGAAAGGGAAAGGCGATTAATGTTTGCTAATGGCCGAAAATTATATTTACTCAGGCGTCTTGTGGCAAAAATCATTCACTAATCCCTGTCATGCTATTGATATTCCTATTTTTGCAGCTATTTTTATATGCATATCTCTAAACACAATAAAGCTTTGCGTAACAACTTTCTAACTTAGCTATGTAAAATAAAATGCGAAAATGGTGATAGCAAAGGTATATAATAATTTTGCTATATAATTATGCTATTTATATTCATTTTGAAATCAATGGTGTTTCTTGCAATCTGATTGGTTAAAAATAGTGTAATTATTCCCAATTCGCACTATTTTTGAGCATTAGTCACATCCTTTATAAGCCAATAAGATTTAAGCTCTGCACCATAATAACCAATCAGATTTAGTATTTCAGTGTAACTATCCAATCAAATTACAAGGGAAAATGGCACAAAATTTTATTATTTTGTATTTTTAAATGCCCCGCAAAATTTCTTGACAAAAATAGATAAAAATTACTCACATTTTACACTGTTTTCGGTTCTTTAGCCAAAAAATCGTTTTGAGTTTGTTTACTTTTTTGTGTTATTTCAAAATGAATATAACAAAGTGGAAATTGCACTTCGTGTCGTGCACCTTGGTGTTAAATCAAAGTATTGTTAAATCACAATTGTGATTACAAATCTTGTTTTTGTAATCACGCGTTTGATTTCACACCAAATTGCACTCCACTCAGTCCAATTACCATTATAAGAACAAATTCCTATATTTCAGGGATTTTCAGTACAAATAATTTTCAAACTTTTTTAGTGATTTAATCATTACAAAACAAAAATTCCTAATTTTTTTTTGTTTTTATCTTTTAGAATGATGTGGATACGTTTAGATGTTGTGCGCATGTTTATCGAACATACATGTCCACCTGGCCAGCGAACCTATGAAGCTAATGCACAGAACGCTTTTAAACTGTGGAAGGTAAAGCCCTTTGTTATTCCGAACCAATCAAGAAAAAAAGTCAGGCTATCTTATATCAATCTTCCATGCAGTTTTATTAATAATTTGAAATATATCAGAGTCTATCAAAAAGTGGCTCACTACATGTGACTCCAGGGCACTTTTGTGCGTAAGTAAATGCACCCGGTTAGAATTCACCTCACAGCAGTAATACTATACCATATTTACCTTCAATGTGGTCAGACGGCTGAACCTAGGGGCGTAACTAGAACAATAAAGGGGAATATTCATATATTCTCATATATTCAGTTCTGCCTATTTCGCACAATAACGTTACAGAATTGAAAAATTTATCTCGGGATAGTATTTACAACAATATGGTTGTCAATGTTTTTAATTTTCAACCATTTATATAAGATTTTGATTGGTTATTGCATACTCATATGCAATAGTCCTCCAAGCGACGTGACTTTCTGCATGATTCTTATCGAATTAGTATTATAGCTCGTCCATATTTATGATGCGAAAAATGTTTCATTCAAGAAAGGAAAACCCTGATTTACCTTAAAAATTGCAAACATTGCTTAAGTGAATTAAGAACGTGCTGAAGGTGGTTCACCATTTAGCTTGCGTAACAGAATTTTTTTATCAAGAAGTATTCATGTATAGATAGAAGTTCATAAATTTTAGGTTTTAGGAGAAAACCTCGACTTTTCTACCGTCCGTACTATGACTGCAGTAGAGAGATTCCTGAAGGATTGCTGTGACAGAATTAGCAAACGATTCAGGTACGTACAGAACCTTCATTACATATACGTGTCTACATTGTGTAAGAAGTTCAGAGCGTTTATTCACCAGTGATTTAGGTTTGCGTTTTATAATGTATAGCTTCTTTTGAAGGCAGGGGTTAAATCTTCTTGAACCGGCTTTGTAGGCTGGGACGGTTTTCAGGAGCGATCATGTTATAGAAAATGCTTTCTTAGCTTCCTTTAGCTTCCATATGTATTTTGACAGCTCCGTCTCCTTCGCGTATTTCTTGTCCGCGAAAGATTTTGCGTGGTTTCGGTAGCACGTTTTGAATTCGTCCGCAGTGACTCCCGCGTGTACTAGCTTGGCTGGTGGATCTTTGTTGCACATGGACACTTCGGCTTGGTAGACTACGTTGATGTGAGGCATTTACCTTTAGCTGGGCATTTTTCCGGTCGTCTGCAGTTGCATTGTCGTGAGTTGTTTGCGTCGTCTGTGTTTGCGTTTGTCTGTTTTGTGTGTTTACTTAGTATTTTTTTTATGCTTGTTTATGAATGAGTGCATGTTGTCAAGGCAGCGGTAGCTAATTCGTACGTTATGTCGGTTGAAGATTTTTTGGAGTTTTTTGGAAGATGGGAAGTGCTTGTCTAACAGTCGTAGAAATTGTTGTCTGCATGATGTTCGTTTTTACGCTTTTCGAGTAAGGGGGATTGTACCAGATTGTGTTGCGTTGCCGTTTACGTCTTTGCGTTGTTTTGCTTTTGTTGATGTTGTCATTGTTAGTTGGTTGCTCGTATACGTAAGTGTTGCGTCGTAGTTGCTTTGTCTCAGTGCGTTGTTGTACCAGTTGAGATGCAGCGTCAAAAGTTGATAGCAAAAGCATGATAGTTTGTTGATTCGTTTGTTGATGGATGATGGAAGTTGTTGTGTGATGGCAGGTGGGTGATTGGAAAGACGGTTGATGTATAGTGGATCGTCGTTTGGTTTTTTGTATAGGGTTGGTATGTTCCGTCAGTCAAGTCAAGTTCAACGTCAAGCAAATTTACCCGCTTCAAGTTAGCCGTGGCGGTGATTTTCAGCCCGAGATTTTTGAAAGTTTCGGCCAACTATTTCCTAGCTTTGTCACCTAATCTGTCTGACGTAGTACGTATAGCGGCGAGGCCGTCATCGCGGTACAGTCCGACGTTACACATTATGAAACACAAAACTAAATCACTGCTGAACAAAAGCTCGGACTTTTTACACAATTTAGACACGTAACTCGTCCCGATGTAAATTATAGAGAATAACAACTTAACCTGTCATTAGCCGGATGATCGCTTCATAGCGTGAAACTCCGAGTAGCTTAGCTAGTCTTACAGTAACTATATTTTGACGATATTACTTCAGTTCACCAATAACGATGAAGATTATTAAAATGTTTGCAGCAGGATTCACCTGAACCTTAATCTCTTTCTGATGAATTTATATATATATATATATATATATATATATATATATATGTTTAAAAATTTGTAATCCAGGCATATTTGTTTGTCAATGAATGTTCTACGGATTTAAAATTGTTTTTTATTGAGCTTTCGACTCGGTACTTCGAGTCTTCTTCAGAATATCTAAATTATTTACATGTGTATAGCTTTATATATTTAAGTTTCGCGCTGTTCTTTAAGACTCTGTATACGTTGGGAGCGTCTGATTGGTTGTTTTGAAGTTGATCTGATATGAGTGGTAGTTGAGGGATGCGTTGTCATGGTTGACTGCATTTCGTTGTCAGGGATGGTCGCTGTGGAATGATTAGATTGTTGCTCTCAACGTATACAGAGTCTTAAAGAACAGCGCGAAACTTAAATATATAAAGCTATACACATGTAAATAATTTAGATATTCTGAAGAAGACTCGAAGTACTGAGTCGAAAGCTCAATAAAAAACAATTTTAAATCCGGAGAACATTCATTGACAAATATATATATATATATATATATATATATATATATATATATAATTATATTATTATATTATAATATATATATATATATATATATAATATAATATATTATATATATATATATATATATATATATATATATATATGTATATATATATTTGCACCCTTTCTTCGTTATTGGTGAACTTAGGTAATATCGTCGAGTGTAGTACATCTCACTCTGTCAAGTACTGACCCTTGAAAGCGATGTTTCGGAACAACTTAAATGACTTTTTTGTTTATTGAAGTTTTTAAGTGTCTGCATGTGATAGATGATTACGTCCGTAAGGCTGTTGCACATCTGGTACCTTGATTTGGCAAACATGAAACGCATTTGGCTTGGTCCAACCCGTTCTTTTAATTTTCCGTTCTTTCTGGCTGCCATAGTAGGTCAAGATCTTGAATCCGGGGCACCATTTCTTAAATTCCATCTCATCTTATTTTCAGTTACAGGTAAAAGTTATATCATTTTTTTTAGATATGATATCACTCAATGTGAGATTTGTAAACGTCCACTACGAGATCCTATTTTGATGCCATGTGATCATATATGTTGTATGGCTTGTGCAAGAGGGTGGTTTAAAGATCATAACGCTTGTCCTATGTGCAGGAAAGAAGTTGGTAATGACTTCAAAGTTGTTGCCAATAAAAAATGCAGGTATGGTAAAAAATTATCTCGAATTGCAACTGTCGTGGTAGCAATATGATGTTTCCACGCATATAGCGAAACAATTAAACGTTTTTAATAATACGAAGAGCTAGACAATTTTGAAATCATTCGTATGGAGGGCTAGTATGGTTGAATAAACCGAAACGAGATTTTTATTCAAGTGATATTTACCTATATACCTTGAAACGATTAGTTGTTTTACACTTGATTACAAAGGTTGTTTTTTGGAAACAAATCTGGTATACCTAAAACACATTTTTTACAAACTAAACAATACGTTTACGGATAGAAATTGTTTTTAAATTTCTTTCCGTCGGTTAAGCCTTCTGTTTGCTTTCTATATAGAGAATGCTACATCGATGCGGAAAAATATGGAATTTATTTCGAGTGTTGAGAATGATATCGAACAAGCGCAGCGAACGAGTGAGATATAATTCTCAACACCAGAAATAAACTCCATTTTTCCAGCATCCATATATTCTTATAAACATGAAAATCTGTTTTTTTAGTTTTTAACTTCCAGGGCTCGTATACCTGCTTCCTCGCCTGATTGGTTGACCAAACACGATAATCGCACATGTCATGTTACTATCGCTTTTCACAATGGCGGTTCGCCACAGCATTTTAATGTAATAAACTACAATAAATTTTTTATAATATTCCTTTTAAGAGATGCCCTGGAGATGTACAACAATTTCCGTAATCGCTGCAAGTCATTCTTCGTGGAGCTTGTTTCGTTGTATTGCTTTCGAGAACAGCTGCCAGAACCAGATTTAGTACGAAAATTCATCAATTACGTGATTAATGATGAGAATAAAACTGAAGCTTTTACACCTTTTGGTGGACAAGGAATTGATGTCACACCTGTTATCCGATCGTATATTTTGCAGCAACTTCTGGCAATAAAGGAGAGGTAGCTATATATAACTATTAGGAAACTTACCCACTAAATTCATTTTCCCCCCAAAATCTTTGCCTTTATGCATGCTTTTTATGTAAGAGATTACTGTTTCAAAGCATGTACTGAAAGCGATGTTATTAGCCTCTTGTCATTGTGTATAATTATATCATTCACCGCGTTTTTTCGTTGAATGTAGCTGCGTATTTAATTGTAAATACTGCAGTTAGGACAAAAAGCTTTGAACATTAATTGTCATCTTAAATTGTTAATATTTTTTCAATTTGTAAAAACAGCTAAGTTTTTTTAAACGTTAACATTTTACAAGGCTTTTCAAGTAATCGATCCTTTCTAGACGAAATGAGGTCCTGGGATATTTGGAAGAATACCTACGCCGTGCCAAGGGATTAGGTGAAAGAGAACATTTAATCGAAGTTTGTGTATTGTGTGTTCAGTGTATGGAGGTACGAGAATTTTTAGACGCGATGTAAGATTAATAAAATGTATTATTATAATTATATTTTATATTCCCGCTGGGTGGAAAAAACTTATAGCTGGGATAATTTTGAAGATTTTAAAGACAAATTTTGGGCATTTTAAAGACATGCACATCCAAGATTGCGAATGTTGAATGTTTGCGTTCGGAAATATAAAATATTCTTATTGCTGTACTCCTATGTAATTGATGTGTATTTTTTATTAGGACGTGGAAACTGTGACGTTATTAAAGGCAAGAGAAGGGGGAGAAAATGTGCAACTCAATATTGCCAGCCGAATACTGGATAGATCGCTACGAAATATTTCATCTTCATCAAACACTCTTACTGTTTCTTGCCTTGAAGATATCGCTGGAATAAGATCCGCATTGGAGGTCGTTTCTAGCTATTTGAGCGATGACTTTGCTGATAATGTTAAACGGTTCCCAAAGCTTTCGGACTGCCTTGCATCAGCGAAACAACTTTGTAGTAGATTTGTGGTTAAGTTGTTCCTTTTGAAACAGTTAGTTCGCCATGATCCGAATGGAATTGATGCGGTAAAAGAAAGATGTAGAAAAGAGGAACTAAATTGGATCATGCCCCCGCAGTCGGAGGTATAATGCATATGATAATCATTACCTGACGTTATCTGTTATTCGTTCGTGTCACATAATTATGTATATGGCGTCTGCGCACTTATATTCGCTTCCGCGGTCACAATAGGTTTTGTAAATTACAATTTATCCTGTCTCGAAAACGTTAAGGGATGCAATCATTAGGGTTTTCTCTAATTGATCCTGGGTACCTTTCTCTGCGACACATATAAAGAACTCAAAAATTAAACAAAAAAGTATTTATTAGGGTTTTACTCGAGGCAAGCAAAGGTTGTCGATTGGCGTATTCTATTGTTTCATTATTCGTTTGTATTGTTTTGTATAATTTAATCTTTTTATCTCCTTTCTTTTACTTTCGTGCAAGATATAGTTCAAACACATTTGTCTTGGAAATGAACTAGGAGAATCGTATTTTGTTTTTAAACATAAAAATACAAAGCTTAATTATCTAAGAACACTTTTCAGGTGTTGCAGCAGTATATGCTACCCGAGAAATCAACATAAATTCTTTTCATTTCAATTGTTTAGGAACAAGATACGACTCCAGACCCATTTATTGTTCATCGTGATGAGTATCATACTGTGCGAGAAGCTCTTGGCAAAGCTTTGCTCACATCTAGTCTCGACAACTTACGCGACGTCCTACAGGCGAGTTCTTTCTTGTGTATTTTGTTTGTGGTCAATCGCGAAAGGCTTTTCTTCGGGAATGCATTTTTACAACTTGTTGTACTAGATCACGATTATATTTTACAGAATTTACAGATTCAGCCACCAGCGCGTTCGTGTTATATTTTGCTTGCCCTTTTCCGTGAAGTAACAACAAGTTTTGGACATTCAAACAAAGATGATAGAATTCCCTCCAAGGTAGGTTTTTACAGAGGTTAACACATTTTTTGCATCAAAAAATTTCCTTTAAGGGCCAAGGTGTAGGTTATTTTGTAATGGATAAACCTGAATATATTTACTAATAAATTCATTTGTATTCGTTTAGTGTACAGTATGTAAATGATGTAAACCTCGCACTGGAAATATTAAGTGCTGTAAACCTAATAGACCTTTATATCATTCCCAGGTCTTGAAGACGCTGAAAAAATACATTACCGGGATCAAGGACTTACCAAACGAAGTAAGGACTTTATGAACTCGTTTGAAAAACTGTTCCCAAACACTGATACGTGATGCTCTAAGGGATGGGAGATGTTTGAGATAAGGTCACTGGGAGTGAGGGGGTGTCACTGTAGTGACGTCATGCGACGCGATGTGAGAATTGATTGATGAAAAAGTTGCAAAATAATTACCGTTCGAATTTTAATATTCACTTTCGCGAAATAAACACGTACCGTATGAAGATAAGTAGCAAGGGGGGCATTATTTACTCTACATATAAGTACGACTTGCTGACAAACGAATTATTTAACAATTGTCGATGTTTTGATAACGCTCCTAAATATGGCCAATGCGGAATGGGGTTTTTTCGAAAATCCGCACCGCTCGCTTTCGCTTCGTTCCGATAGAAATAGCTGCGGAATAACGCGTTCATCGATATTTGATCGACCCGAACATGCACACGTGCATATAACAGCGCCCTGATATAACCAAGATATAACCAAGATTGGTGCAAAAAATCGTCCGTCCAAATGAAATCCGTGAACGACAATTACTCGCTTGTTCTCAATCAGATTACCTGAATTACCAAGAATTAAAGAGCAATTTCTATCATTATAAGGCTGTATAGTATATATATAATAAAGTATTCATCGTTGAACTGAATTTCTTAAATTAACCAATGAATTTATAACATTTTCTTTTTCAGGTGAAATCTCTGGCTGAAGGTTTTTTGGAAAATTTTGGAAACGCAAACAGCCAAATTCTGCAGTCACGTCCTCATCTATCTGCGACTGATAGACGACTTATTGATTTATTAACTCATTTTCTTGTTGTCATTAAATGCTCGCCTCAAAATCAATTGCTTCAACCTTTTTCGAATTTTGCTATAAATCCAGCTATGATGGTGGTAAGAATAAACATTTTTCCAATTCATAATGCTGTATATATAGGCTAACGTTTAAGGGGCTGTTTTTATATACGAGCCCGGTTACCTGAGATTCAGCGAATCGTGAGGTGATGCTGTGGTATTAAAATTAGCCTTTATGAACTAAATTGCCACATGCTATTGTTGGGATCACTACAGGGGCATAGGAATTTTCTGGTGGGGAATTTCCTTCTGAAGGATGTGAGCTTTATGAAAATGAATGTATAAAAAAGTCCCATTTACACTACACTCAATTTATCGACACGGCTAAAATTGGTACCTGCATGTGTCCAGTTTTAAGCCCCGGTTACACTAAACTCAATTTATCGGCACGGCTAAAATGGGTATCCGCGCACTTTTTATTCGTGCCCGGCCTTTGTATTGATAGCCTGAACACTAATAAAATTGGGTACGCGTACCCATTTTAGCCGTGCCAATAAATTGACTGTAGTGTAAACTACAGTAGTGTAAACTAAACTACAGTCACTACACTATACTACGGCTAAAATTGGTACCGTACCTAATTTTATTAGTATTCATGCAGGCTACCAATACAGCTACCAAGGCCGAGCACGGCTAAACTGGATACCCGTGCCCATATATAGCTATCCCGGCAATCTAGGCTAGTAGAAACAGTGTATCGACACTTTGAACTAAGGTGTACGTTTCTGTTCGTCATATAGAACGCTTTTATTCCCACAATGCCTCATGATGATGGCCCTGAGGTCATGCAGGCAACCGCTGGCAAGTGGTACGGTAAGACTACAATTATTCTTTATAATTTGTTCTTGGTATTAATCACTGGTAAGCTTGACGAATCTTTAAGATCTCGTCTGTCAATGCATAGTAGAGCAATAATGAAAAGAATAATTAAAAACACTAATTTTGCATTATTAGAGTGCCCGCAAGGACATCGCTATGTTATTACTGAAGTGAGTACCAAGTTATCCATGCACGTACTATACACATGCATATATATTATAGCACTGCAACTTTTCAGTTAATGCTGTGAGGCACTAAATGTTTGAGGTCAAGTGTAGGCCCCATAAATAATATCGAGGAGAAAAGCCAATTTAATGTTTGGAGTATATTCTTGCTCTCTGATGAATCTGGTATTAATTTTCTATATTGAAGGAATTGATATAGCTAACCACTGTTTTAAAAGTATATCCTGACCCGGTAATTATCGATTTACAACATTTTAGCCTTTCCATGACAACGGAGGTGAGAAGTGACTTCAGCACAAATTAAGCGATATTTTCAAGTTTCAGACCTGCGTTAGCCGTTAGGCGTAAGGCGTCGAAAGTATATAGCATCTTCTTGTGATGTGGAACCCGGTTTTTTCTTATTTTCCGGGTAGCGCGATGTCCATTCCGATTTCCATCCTGCGCTGTCGCGAGAAAGACAGCCTCAATTCTTTAAATATAAACTTTGACTAAAAAAATAGAAAAAATAAGTGTTGGTGTATAATAGTGCTGTACAGGGTGTCCCAAAAAAAAGTCCCCGCTATTGAAATGAAGCTTTTGTTGGAATTTGAATGCATGATCAACGCAGTAGTGTGTAAATAGCATAGTTATTAGGTTGAGGCATTCAAATAAAGCGTCTTGCTTTCAATTGGGTTTATCATAATATTAAGGCAATCAGATTCGAACAAAGGCTTGATTTCAATAGAGGGGACATTTTTTTGGGACACCCTGTATATGTTCATGTTTTACGGTTCTATGAATCAATTGTAAACCATACACAGAAATACACTCGAATTATCTTTTATTTATTACAGTGTGGGCAGCCAAACCAAAGCTTTAATTGTCCAACATGCCATAGCCCTATTGGAGGCATGAATTACGGTCTAGCAGCAAACAATAGAAATGCATCTGGGTAAGTTTGTCTTGATAAAAATATATATAATTATTGATATGCGTTTCAACTTGCTTGGTGTATAAAATATGAAATTATAATTTTTACCAATGGGCAACGCGGACGAACAGTAGCGCAGCCAGCCTGACGATTTATCCCGCTATGCTAATATTTTGGTCAGTTGCGTAGCCAGCATTGATAATTGGGGGGGACCCATATTCATATATTCATGATAACAGACTGTAAAGACAATCGATTTCTAAAGAAATTAATCCTGCGTATCACGAATATATGAATATGGGCCCCCCAATTATCGTTCTGGCTACGCCACTGATTTTGGTGCTCATTGACTGTGAAAACAATAAATTTCTAAAAAAATGAATAGTTATGATAACTCGAAATTTAAATAGCCGGACAAAATCGTCAGGCTGGCTACGTTCATTAATCTCGTAAAGCCGGTTTTCCACTAGCGATATTTTCGCGCAAAGCGAGTTTATTCTGTTGTATTTGAGCAATTTGTTCCAGTTGACTCCTGTACGTAAAAAAAATTATTATCACTAGTGGAAAACCGACCTACCTATACACCACGTCGCTATTTCTGTCTGACTGAGCGCTTGATTGTGAGAATCTCAATGATCACAAGTTCTGACAATTAATCCGATATCTTTCCAGTCTTCTGTCTGGCGGAAAACGTGAACATTCGTTTAAATTAAAAGCGCTCTGAAAACACGAAAATGAAGAGAGACGCACCATTTTTTGCATACATTCTATCTTACTTGAATTTACTCAATTCCCTCACACGCATTGAGTCACAAGCATTGAAATGGAAATTAAGAACTTTTCTATTGATATTAGCCCCTCATTATGGCTGATCTGCCAGTGCAATTGCCCCGGCATCGCATAGGGTTTATTTGGGTAGGATTCTAAAAGCAAGGGAAGGGATTTGATATTTCTCCAGGGAAAAGTGGGTCGATGAATAGAATTGAATAAATTAAAAATTCAAGGTATCTAAGTCAATAGTGTCCATAGAGGTCACTGTACAGTTAATTAAATACTTTAATGATTTATCTTTGTCACTAAAACAAAAAACAAAACTGTTATAATTTCACACAAGCTCAACGCTCAGAATATAAATTTTTACCAAAATTATCGCAACAAAATGCGACAGCCAAAAATAAAAATTAATTTAGTCTTTCGTCTCACGTAAATCACGACCCAGTTAAACGCCAGTGTTTGGCGAAGCATCCACAGAGCTTTTATCTCTTTCTTCCTCATATGGCTAAAAACTCTCACATAGCTTATTACCCATGTTCTAAAGCAGAAAGGAGGCCCTCCCCTGGAACTTTGAAGGGGTTTGTCCCCGAGCGCACCCCACTTCGATGCGATGCACTGAATGCGATGACCCACCATCATTACACTCTACAAAATATTGGTGAAAGCAAAAAATTATAGAGGTGTAACATTTGAAAAATTTTAACTTTTGAAACAATTTAACGACCGAAGAAGTCGTTTTGGGGCATCTGTACAGCGTAAAATCACCTGCATGAAAAGTTCCAATTGGAAAGAATTGCTGATTGTAAGGCTGTATTTGCAGAGAAATTAGAGTTCGTTGCATGTCGTGTAAAGCTATGCGTTCGTGATAATTATAAAGAACGTCAGACTTCGCCAATTGCTCTTATCTCCCCAGTGTCAAAAATAGACTTCCTTTTTATACACTTTTTTTTAATTAGGGAAGATCGAACTAGCACAGGCCATATTCTTGGGCGTGCTCAACCACAAGGGGGAACAGTAGAATCAGAGCGAAATATGAATCCTTTGTCTTGCGGTGTATTACGTTGCCTGACTCATTTAGCCATGTTGTTGGGAACAGATCAGGATACTCAGGTATGTTTATTAAAAACACGGAATATATCCTAAAATATTCTCCTCTTTCTGAGATGAAAATTAAGGCCCCATATTTTCTGCAAATTTTTAAGTCTATGCCTACTAAGCAATAAATTTCATATTCTGCATGTGCAGAGAATTGCTGCTACAGTAAAACCAGCAGTTGGCGATGTTGTCCAGTTCTTGAACGAACATATCAAGAATGACATAAGAAGTATTGCACGAAATACTGGCCACAACGATGTTGAGGCGGAACAAATAATCCACCTAGTTCTTGTTGGTATTATGAACAACACAGATCAGCAGAGAGGTAGGTTTGATGTATATGTAGGTGTTGTCTTGTTGTGCTTACCTTTGTTTTGCGTGTCCATTACATCTTCAAATCATACATTCGTTTCATGTATAGGGTTAAATGTTGACACCAGACTAGCTACTAAAGAGTCAAGAGCAGCTTGGGAAGATGCATTTTTGAACACTTATTTGAATCCGGTTCTGTCGGTAAGTTGGCTGAAATGTAAATAGTAGCATGCGACATGATCTTTTCATCTATATCTGCTTAGTAAATAAATACATATTGCAAATGCTGATTTTTTTACAGAATATTTCTAACTTACTGCAAGAAAGCTTTGGTCGTATGGTCCGAGATGAAAGGCTTGGTAAGAATTGAGTAGGATAAGTTTTTGGTCGGCGTTAGATCATATCGAACTAACGTACATGACGTCATAAATTTTGCAATAACGGAAGTATAATAACAGAAGTCTTACATGAAATCTTTCTAGAGCTGGTTCATAAAAATGATAAAATAAAAATGGCGATGAATGATGATACATTTATACATTTATAAATGTACACGAAAGTGTAAATGTCTGTTACCCTCATACCCAGTATAGGAGTGATCATATACTTATGTAATAGTATCTCTGGCTTTACCTTAATTACGGTTAGGGTTAGGGTTATTGAAAATTTTATGACGTCATGTACGTTAGTTCGATATGATCTAACGCCGACCTAAGTTATTCGATAGTTTAATGTTACGTTGGATCCGATGTTAATATTTTATGTTTTGTCTTTTGACTCGCTTAATGCTAATAGGGTAAAATAAATAATTAGCTATATACGTTACCTAAATAATTAAGTCCAATTAAATTAGATAAATAAGGATTCACTGGGTCAATCGTACAAGATACAGTCACTTCATAGATTTCATTTTTATGTGGAATGTTGTTGTCATTGTTGCCATTAATTCGTTGCCAATGATCGAATATACTTTTTCGGCAAAAAAGAAAAGTATGATTGTTTTTAGTTTTAGAAACTATTCAGTGCCGTCGCTATCTCGATACGTGCATCGAGCTAAAGGGTTGAAATAAAGTTATATATTCGTGTTATATATTATTCATTTTATAATCGATTGCGGCTAGGAAACAGGAATATACAGTATATAAAAAATGTCTAACGTTAGACTACTGTTATGTTTACATATCATAGGAACAATAACGTGGAAAAAAAACAGTCAGGCATAAGACGAGTATATGAATATACACCTTAACCGTAGAGATAAGATTTGGCTTCAGCAATTTTGGGCATTTCAGTAGGTGCATGGCGTTCCAGTTGTTTTTGGTTCAATGGTCATGTTTCAAGCCCCTTGCCTTGAAATAGTTCGATTTGAATAAAAAGTGTTAAATATCGTATACTGACCTGTGCCAAAGTATAGTTTAGGCCTTTTATAAATATTTCGAAATGCAAATTCGACTTTATGTTCATTACCTCGGAAATGTGATTGGTTTATTCGTAGTCACATGACTTTAAATGTTTCCTGCCAGAGTAAACAGGTAAAAAATTGTTGCCCGCTTCTTGTCATAACAAAGTAAAGTGGGTATTTTTAAATGAAACTGTTGTGTAACATGTATGTTTTTGTTCCTATATAACAAAGCACTTAATGTACACTACCTCGGGAAATAGCCAATTCCCTCGACAAACATTCAGACTCTTGGGAAAACAAAACTCACCATTTCTATCGGGAGCATACATTAAGTGTATAATATTTATAGGCAACAATCGTCTGATGAAATTAATATATGAACACGATGATTCAAAAGAAACCGTCGCAACAGAGCTCACTCCGATGTGTCCAGCGCTATGGCGGCATCGTAAGAAGATCACCATAGAATATTTATCGTTCAAGTTTCAAGAATATTCTCAAGATGGCTATAGACTGGAAAGATGTGAAGTTTTGGCGGAATTCTTGAAAAAAGTATGCATCGTAGGGCCTATACCTGAAATCAAAATAACATCATACTTATGAAGAATATTCCTGTGGTATCTTTCCACCAAAGAATTAAAATCACAGAATTTGCCATTAATTTTGAATATTTTCACATCTCTTATGCAGGAGCAGCATCTTCGAGCGTTGCAGTACCTCCCAGATATTGTAAAGTTACAACGGCTTCTTTTTGAGAAATTTCATCGTCGCTTGGATCGAAATGAAGCGGAAACATATACTATTGGAAAGTTCCTAAAAAGCGGTAATAAATATGTTTATTTTTTAAAATATATTATAATATACTTAATATCTGTTTTTAGAGTCTAGTTCACAACACAGACATCAGTGTGCCAAGTATGCTTTAGCCGTTTTAGAACTTAGTTTTAAGGTAGAACAGAGGGAGAGTTTTTGCCGCAATATATTCCAATTAACTTCGGTACGACTGCGCAAAAAATTTCTTTTCGGACGTATATCTAAACTCCAAAACGACTGCTGAAGCGAACTTAGCAAGTGAATGTCAGCTAGTGCTGTGAACTATAGAATTAGAACAATCATACATTTCTACGTCAACATATTTCAATATTTTTAATTTTATAAATCAAATGATCTTTTTGTGGTGTACCAACTTAAGGTTGAATTTCATCGTCGCTTAATCCCCCAAATCGTCCCACCATTTTTTAACTAGACAGATATGAGCTAATATAGTAATATAGTAATATAGTAGAGAACCAATCAGATTGCACATTAGCTCATATCCTGCGCTTGTGTATATAGTTATACTTGTTACACAAACGTAACTGCATGCATATGCATGTAGATCTAATTAAAATTGTTCCTCAAAATTGTTTATCGAACAACAAATCCTTTGTCTATTAATTCAGCAATAAAAGTCTATGCATAGAAATTAGATAATTAATTAATTAAAGTATAGCTATGTAACAATGTACAAAGATTGAACCACGACTTCGTGGTATTAAACATCCTGAAATTGTTACTTAAATTGTCAGTCGTTCTCGTTTGTTGAATGACGTAAAATACATGCATATAATTAGCTAAATAATTTAACGAAAGAGTGTTGAAAATATTTAGGTTTTTTATTAAATTTCTTTAGTTCGTCCATAAAATGGTGAAAAAAGTCTATTTTGTGACCAGGTTGACATGTAGATACGAATAATATAATTATTTTACCTTGCAGCATATAGGAGACCGAGTTTCATTTACAAGTGCTGCATCGGATAGTTAAAAAAATTAATCAAAGTAGTTAACCTCGAATTGTACGAGAGATTAAGTTGATTAAACTAAAATAAATACATGACAAATCAATCTTTTTTGTTCTTGATTTGAAACGTTCGTAAAGTATAAGTTTTACTTGTTTTCATCTCTTGTGTTTTCTCTTTAGTTTCTCAAGTAAAAGAACAATTTATTTCATTGATCGACAGCTTTCGAAAGGCATGGAAGATTGTCCGAACATCTCTTGTGCAAGATGGCAAGTATACATTTTCAATTAAAATACATAGCTATATCTTATTTACCGACTGAGAGTTCCGTACTAAAAAAATAATTTCCCGAGCTCGCGAGTAAATAACGTTTTTATTTAAATTTTTTTCATGAAAATACCTTTAAAGTTAAAGCCATTGTGTAATAGTCTTTCATTGTCGGTTATGTCTTATGTAGAATGACATACATTTGTACATATATAAACTGGATCCTAAAGCACAGAACTAACAAAACGGTCCAACATCACCGTTCACCGTCCATACATGTCATGGAATTTAGATGACTTTGGATTCCGCTATGTTTCCTCGCAAAACACGAGTAATTTTTTGTTTGTTCTATTCTTTATTTTTAGGACCATTTTCAATTTCACAAGAAATGTGTTCTTTTGAAGTGACAAATTCAACAGTAATTTCCATGTTTTTACCTGCCCGTTCAGGCGTGGGAAGATGCGCGTTAGCCCTGAATAATTTTCTAGTGACTTTGCACAATGATTTCATTGGCCGTTGTAAGAGCTTGCTGAAGGATGAGAGTAGGTGGGTGTGATAATGTAGACAGATTCGGATATCGATTAATATACCTTCTCGCAACATATGTTTTTAAAATTTGCATATTTATAAAATTGAAAATATCGAAATATCTTAACATACTTAATATCTGTTTTTAGAGTCTAGTTCACAACAGAGACATCAGTGTGCCAAGTATGCTTTAGTCGTTTTAGAGCTTAGTTTTATGGTAGAACAGAGGGAGAGATTTTGCCGCAATATACTCCAATTAACTTCGGTACGATTGCGCAAAAACTTCTTTCTTTTCGGACGTGTATATCTAAACTCCGAAACGACTGCTGAAGCGAACTTAGCACGTGAATGTCTGTTCTGTGAATTAGAATTAGAACAATCATACATTTCTACTTCAACATATTTCAATATTTCTAATTTTATAATATGCAAATGATCTTTTTGTGGTGTACCATGCACCTAAAGCGAAAAACGTCTGTATAGGGATGAAATGTTTAAAAAATCGCAATGAGTTATATACATGCAGTTAGCAACAATACATATAGATAAATTCGTAACTAATTTCATGTTGCAGTTGTGCATGCATGATGTCAGTCATATTTTTTTTTCATATATAGAAACATTTCTACTATCCACAAAAATCCAGGTGTGTGGTAAATAACATCTTAACGGTTTACTCTATATACTTTAGGTCACCTGACATGTCTCTGAAGAGTGTCACTAAAGCTCATCTTGTGGCGTATGATCCTGAAAAGGATTTCATACCAATCATCCTTGCACACTGTGATTATTCTTTAAATCTTGGCGAAGAAACAGTGCTTGAATTCAACTGGAAATCATTGGAGAGACAAATAGTGGACAGATTCATCAGAGGCAGGCCCAGACTAACGTCCTTGGTAAATAGTAGTTATAATATATTATATTATACATATCTTCTATCAAAGCCTTAATTGGAATTGAGTGTCCGACAAAGTGATGTTGTTATAGTTCATTCTCCAATTGGTGAAAAGAAAATATCTTTGGAATCGCGGGTGATATTTAAGTTCAGATTCGATGTATATCATTGGATAATAATCTTGTTTTTGCTGCATATCAACAGTGTACTTATCTTCAGTTCAGTATTTCGACAATACGTGACTAAAAAATTAGTCACATATTTCGTAGATGGTTATTATCATGGGGTTTTACAATATTTTATTGGTAGTATGTTTTTCATTTTCTCGTTTTGCGACGTCATTACAAGAATATCGAATATAATGGGGGTCAAACCGAAGAGATTGATGGTGTGCGATCCAAAATTTTGACACATATGTCATGAGATTAAAACTTCTGGTAATATCTAATGAATGTTTAGCTGTGTATCTTAATTGATTAAACTTGATTGATACATAAAATGCCAGCGACAACTGGCATATTTCATTTTTTCTATTACTTACGACAGTAGAGGAAGCTGATTGTCACATCCGAGTTGTTTACTTTAACAACTAATTAATAACAATTAATTGCTTTGCATGCATGTTTTTTCTCTGGTTGTGCGTACTTTCGGTCGTCATTTTATGACAATTATAATTAATTAAGTTGTGCGAATCATAACCAACAAATCACAATGATATTTTGAATGTATGGGCTGGCGTTGCTAATTTTTTGCTAGTGTGAGACAAAATTAATTATTCACCCTTTAAACATTGATGATTTTGTCATTTGAAAAATTATATTGATTTGACCTCCTCTAATGCATAATTTTTTCCCTAGGTTGAATTGTTTGTGTTCAGTAAAGACATTTGTGATGGAGAAGTATTTAAAGCTTTACAACAAAAAATACCTCAGGTAGATTTGAGTTATAAATCAGACATGACAGTGTTTACTTCGCGGGATATAGGCGGAATCGTGGGGCATTCATATATTCTAATAATTGGTACTTTTGATAGTTTTTTTATTCTTGGAGGCACCATGTAGATGAAAGACAAAATTACTCAATTTGCTTAGTGTACTGGTCGTCCATGCCAGCATTATTGATAATTTTGATTACATCACTAGAGTAAAGGAAATAAGTCGTGAGAACAAGCTAGTCGAAGGTGTCCATAATTTCACTTCCCATTACAGATCGGTCAAAAATGTTGCTATATTTATATTTAAACTGTTCTCGATCAGGCAATCAATTTGCTATATTTACATATATATGCTATTTTTATATTGAAAAAAATATAAATTCCTATGCGACCTTGAAAGTAACACATTTGCCTATTTAGGTGGAGTTGACTCGTCCTGTTCAAGATCAAATACTCAACGAACTTAATCAGCTGACCGATGTTTGCGATGTTCTTAAATCACTCCATATTGCTATTGGATTTCTATCATCTGCTGGGGGGGATCCATCAATGTCTGTTTTTGATTACCTTCATTCAGGACTAAAGATGGAAGTGAAAAACGGTCTGAAAAGTAGAAAGGTGATTATTTATACAGCCACGCGATGTTGAAAAAGAGATCTTAAGTTATTAGGATTACTGCCGAGTTTTCTAAAGAACAACAACATCTTATAACAGTGACATATTTTCTAAAAGTTAACCTTTTCTGATGCATGTAGATTTTAAAATTTACCAACCCTCCTACACCCCCCCCCCCCCTCTCTCTCTTTTCTTAAAACAAGCAAGCGACTGCAGATAGGAATTTGACTACGCTGATCAGGACTTGTAGACAAATATGTCTACACAAGCCAACGGCCCTTTCTAATATTCAAGTGCTGGTTTTCGCAAAAATGGATGTATCAAGATTAATTTCAGTTCTGGTTTCAGGGAAAATTAACTGCAATGACAAGTTAAGCTGAAATCAGAATTATAAAAACAGGTTCCAAATTTTGCAAACAAGTTAACATCACAATGACAAAGATCAGTTTTCATTTTAAAAAGATGACCATTGAGCTCTCAAGGGTGCAGTATTCTCATGACATAATATTAAGGTGGCTCCCTACAGTTTATTGAAAGTGTCAAATACACATCTTGAACAGGGATATTAAGCCATCTAAAATTTGGCTAGAAGACTAAACTTTAAGTACTAGTTAAAATACGAGCGGCCGATCTGAATGGGAATTTACAATGGCAAGCGCGTATAACGTGTTTGTGAAATGAATAGATTAAGCTTACAGTCGCGGCAATAGAAGCGTTCCGAAAAATATCGAGTAAATCATGTGCTCAAATTTATCAGTTGGCTTACGGAATTCATCAAATATTTGAAAAACTCCTAACTTCTGGGGCCAGTTGTATCAAGCCCGTTTAGCTTAAACGGTGGATAAGTCAAAATTAAATAACACTCTTTCATCTCTCTTGAATGAGTCAACTTGAATATTATGCACTGAATATGTAGTTGTAAACATTCTCTTTGTATTAAGGTTAAAAACATTTATTTTGTTTCTTCAATAAAACGATAGACTTGCTTTCTATTTTGAACTTAACCACCGTTTAAGCTAAACGGGCTTGATACAACCGGCCCCTGGTTTCGAATTGACCAATCTCTAATGCTTTGAAATACATAGACGCATATGACTGGTCAATTCGAAACGAAAGTTCCGAGTTTTACAATTGAACTCCGTAAGCCGACTGATAAATTTGAGCAAATGAGTTCCTTGATATTTTTCGGAACGTCTATTTTGCCGCAACTGTAATGCATATTGAGACTGATTATCGCCTGTATTCAAAAAGCTCACTCACACTCAAACTCATTGAGTGGGAGATCTTAATCTTCTCATGACGTTTCAATGGCGGTATTTTCAGCCGAACAGGGGCTTGATTTTCAGTGATTTACCTTATATCTTTCCATCTATTGAGAGAAAACTTTCTCATTGATCAGCATTAACAAAATTTATATGTCACACTCAATGAGTGTGAGTGTGAGTGAGCTTTTTGAATACGGGCCTAAGATTCATTAAGATCAAAGTTAATATATGAATTACTAATTCATAAGACCATTATGGAAAACTACAGATGTATACATGTAACCAAAATAGTATGCAATGATTGGAAGTTAGACTCATTAATTATTCATGAATTTTACAATATGACTTATAGGCAACATATGTAAAGCCGAAATCTATTTCGAACTTTCGCTTGATAAGCAACAGAGTCGTTTCAAAATGGCCGCCAATTAGATTTTGATCAATTTTGTATCGAAAACGAGTTCATGCGTCAAAGTTTTACACTTCGGATGCTTTATCTATAGAAAAGTTTGATTCCAAAAAAATCACGGGTCGCTGTACTCGTTTCTGACATAAACTTGATTAAACTCTATTTAGCGGCATTTTGAAACGCCTCTGTTGCTATAGCAACGGTTGCCAAGCGAAAGTTTCTGCATATGTTAAGGTTATGTTAAAGTTTAGTGTTCTAGCCAAACATTTACGTGGCTTAATATCCCTGTTCAAGATGTGTATTTAACAATTTCAATAAACTGTACAGAGCCCCCTTAAGACTCCATAGTGGAAAAAAACACTTTCCTCCAGCTGCGGTATACGGTTAATAAACCAAGCATTTCGCTAGCTTTAAGCACTTTTGTATGAATATAATCATGATAAGTTTAGTTCATATTAGTTCATAATTATTTAGAGGCATGGAGAAGCAAAACCAGTGTTTAACAATAATTTAGGCAGTTGTAAATTGTAATCAAAACGTTTGTTTACTTTGATAACCTCTTTTATTCATGACTGGATTTTCTCGCAGGCTGAGCAGTTTTGTGAACTGCAGCACATCGTTTCTCTTTGGCTGTTATTGTCTCTAGAAAGGGCAAGGATATTGACAAAACATAAACAGGTTGGTACTACTAAGCTATATCTACATTAAGTTGTTTGTTTCTACGTGGAAACCTTTTTTTATGAAAATTTTGATCGCAAATGTATTTGTTACTACAAACTACATTCAATTGAAGATATTCAGTCGATGTTTTGAAGTATCTCATGGTATATTATTAGCAAAAGTGCAACATTCACGTCAAGATCTATATTTATTTACGCTTGCCTAAAGGATTTTAGCACTTTTTAATGATCTAAAATTTCTGGTCCTGATTGCAGTTGATTCCTCTTAAACGAAAGCAAAATGTCGCCTCGGGAAAAATTATCGCTAGTGGAAAACGGTCTCAATGTTGATCATGATCAATTACCACTAGCGATCATTTTAACAACCGGTTGTTTCTCGTTTAGGATCCATTTGATGACGTAACGGATACGGTAAAGGTATCGCTCGAAACGAAGCAGAAATTTGCATTGAACGGCGGATTACAAAAGCTGAACGTTGATCGATTTGTTCTTGTGCTGTTGGAGTTCATTTTGCTCTACCTAAAAAATGTTCCTGATGATCAGTTACACTTTCCGTAAGTTCGCCCAGTATATACGGTATACCAATTTATAAATTCTGTCCATATAAATAAATGCTGTAAATAGGGAAATTCCTGTAAATAGGGAAACATGGACCTGTCTGAACATTCAAACTAACGATAATTTTGTTTATGACCTGGGGCGCTGCAAGAACGGTAATTGGGGGGAGAGCAATATTCATATATTCATGTTCTGCATTATTTATTTTGTTCGAAACCAATTGTTCTTACGGCATATGAACAAATTAAAATAATTTTATTTGAATCCCCTCCCCACACCAATCATCGTTCTTGCAGCGCCTCTGTTTATGAGCCAACATTTAAAATCCTCGCACTTTGGGAATTGCAACAGTTAATTAACGCTGTTAATTTTATGATGATTGCAAGTCGGTTACACCTTGAATTGATGAGATTTACGTCCTCTGGAAAGCAAATTTGAAAGTCAAAACGTAGTAATACCCAATCTTTAATCTATCTTTAATAGTCAATGAAACTTTTTATGACTTATTTGGTGACATATTCCTTTGTTAAACAGGGCTAATTCTAATGACTGACGAATGTCTCGTTATTTTAGCTTATCTCAGTACATGAATGCCAAACTTGACGAATTGAATCGTGAAGTTATCGATGCGCTAGAAGAATATGTACCAGAAGACATCACGGTAGAACATGCTGTAGAAGCTTGGAAAATTGCATGTCGAAAAAGTGAGGACTATCATTTAAGATTGGAACAGTAACGCGAACACGGATAATTTAATTACATTTAAATTCGGTTAGCAACATTTCGGTTTTAACGTATAATTTATGCCTAAGTACATTTTGCATAGGTATACATATCCTCCATTATGAATAATTGCAAATTTTTTATCACTTGCACTGTGCAACTTATAAATTATAGTGTAAGTAGGAATGTTGCATTCTTCTAATCTTTCGAATGATACCAATGAATCAGTAGCGTAGGCAGCCTGTCAACGTTGTCAGGCTTTACCAATATTTCAGTGTCACTCACTGTGAATAATAGTCAATAATAGTCAAAAACAGTCAATAATAATATTAAATTTGCATAGCATTTACATAGCCGGATTAAAATGACAGGCTGACTACACCAGTTACTGAAATTAAAGTGTCTTTATGTAATTTGATATTATAAGAGCTATAAAATTAATTAAATTTGGATTTTCAAATTTAATGGTCTTCATAAGCTATTTTATGATAGATCTCAGAAATATCTTTGTTAAATCTTAGATCTTTGTTTCCAATATGGCCGCCATATCTTATGGGGTGGTAACCAAATTTAAGCGTGCTATGTGCAGAAATTTCTTGATAAGCTAGCACAATTTTATGATGGTAAGATAGATCAGGCTTTTCGCTGTTAAATGATATGTTTTTTGTAACAAATTGAGAAAAAATGATGCGGCCACAAATAATGCCACAATAATAAGTGTTGAATTTCTTACGAATCCGCAGAGCTAGAAATATGGATTTTCCAGGTCATATTCGCCTATTTTCTCTTTATAGGGTACAAAAAAAGATGTCATTCGACAGCAAAGAGCCTGATCTATAATGATATCAAAACCTCACGCTTGCTTATCCCCGAGCCGGTGCGAAGCACTGTGCGAGGGTACTAATTCCGCTCGGATATTTAAACCCACTATGTGCAAATGCGAAATCAAAGTCGACCGCCATTATGCAATGGACCTCATGTCATGGACGGTCTTCTACGTTATGCGCATGCGCCAGTGTGAACTACTTAGCTCTTGATTGGTCGAGACAAATATTTGTATTTTCAAACCTGCATAACTGTCATTTCGCAAAATTTTGAAGAGACTATATATATATATATATATATATATATATATAATATATATAATATATATATTATATTATATATATATATATATATATATATATATATGTTATTTACCAGATTGGAGGTCCGTATAGTGAAATATTTTCCAAGGTCTCAAAAACAGTCCGAGGCCTAAGTACAAAAACGCCGAGGGACGTTTTTGAGACCGAGTGGAATATTTCCCTATACGGACCAACTAAACTGGTAAATGATAGATTTTTTTTTCTTGAGGTCCGAATTCATATTTTTGCGTTGGCTCTTTGCTTTTAAATCTCGCGCGGTCCGTACGGCCTTATACGGACCGCTCGCGTAGCGAATCAGATTGCAGGAAACGCTAAAATATGAATTCGGACCGCACGAAAAAAACTATAGATATATTTTAGATTGGAGGTCCGTATTTGGAAATTTTTCCCAAGGTCTCAGAAACGGTTTTGAGACCGAGGGAAATATTTCCCTATACGGACCGACTAAACTGGTAAATAATAGATTTTTTTTTCTTGCGTTCCAAATTCATATTTTAGCGTTGGCTCTGTGCTTTTAAATCTCGCGCGGGCCGTACGGCCTCATACGGACCGCTCGCGTAGCCAATCAGATTGCAGAAGACGCTAAAATATGAATTCGGACCGCACAAAAAAAATAGAAATAGATATATTTTATTTACCAGATTGGAGGTCCGTATTGGGAAATTTTTCCCAAGGTCCCAAAAACGGTTTTGAGACCGAGGGAAATATTTCCCTATACGGACCGACTAAACTGATGAATAATAAATTTATTTTTTTCTCGCGGTCCAAATTCATATTTTAGCGTTGGCTCTGTGCTTTTAAATCTCGCGCGGTCCGTACGGCCTCTTACGGACCGCTCGCGTAGCCAATCAGATTGCTGGAAACGCTAAAATATGAATTCGGACCGCAAGAAAAAAATAACGACGCCACTTACGGCGCTATCTGCATCGTGTTACACTTAACTATCGCTGTCGATCCCAATTCTTATAATCCTGCGCTTAATAGAGGAGAGGAACTTAGTCGAAAGGAGCTTATCGAAAAATATTTTCACCTGGGTTTCCAAGCAGTGGAGATTCTTGGATTTATATGTAATATCCATGGCTATACGTTAAGTATTCGACAGCTTAAAAGAATTTTGCGTGCCATGGGTTGTAGAAGAAGGAAAGAGCCCAGTGATTTTGATGAAGTCGTGAGGGCCATTGAGATGGAACTTGCGTCAAGCTCGAGCTTACTTGGATACAGAGCGATGCACCAGAAATTAACAATCGATCATCATCTTGTTGTAACAAGAGATGTTGTTCGCCAAATTCTAAAAGTTGTTGATCCTGAAGGCGTACAGATTCGATCTCGTCATCGCTTAAGACGCCGACGATATTGTGCTAAAGGGCCAAACTATATTTGGCACATCGACGGCTGTGATAAGCTTAAGCCATTTGGCTTTTGCATTCATGGTGCTATAGATGGCTATAGTCGTCGAGTTTTATGGTTGAAAGTTGCATCTTCCAACAATAATCCAGAAATTATCGCGCACTACTTCTGCAATTACGTTTCAGCCCTCGTAGGCCGTAGGATGAGCATCCAAAAGATGCTTAGAAAACGGATTCCGTTGCACCCCTCGTGAAACTACATAATTTTCACATGAATCAATAGATAAAAACTTACTTTATCAGAATCCGTCGCTCCCCAAGCGAAACAGGTGCACAATTGGGAAAACAATCCCTCCAAAGTTTGCTATATTTGCGCTTCGAAATATTCAAATCGCCATTGTTTTAGTAGCAAATGCGCATGCGCTTGTCAGCCAAACTCGCACTGCGCACGCGCATAAGCACGCACATGCTTCGAGTTATGCAAAATAATCATGGCTGAAGATATTTATAACACTCGAATATCCTCATGTTTTATTCATTTTGATGGCGTTACGGAGCAACTTTGCAAAGTTGCACGCCAAAGGCTTAAGAAATTTCTTGAGTGTAGCTCCAAATGGGCCAAACTTAAATGTCAACAAGCTGAAAGAGCTAAGAAATCTTACGAAAACATCGATGACGGATCTGTCAATTCATACATGGAGAAGAACCCTGACAGCATTAACTTAGAATGGTACCATCATATGAAATGCTGGAAGAGATTTTGTGATGAAGAGAAGATCCGTAGACAACAGCGAAAGGAAGAAAAAGGAGAAGGCACTAGCTCTGAAACTGTAACTCCTACCGAAGGACTACATGTGAAAGTGGAACCAATGGAACCAAGGCGAAAAATTACACGACAATCATAATATATAATTATACTAGTGCAATGTGCACTAGTAGCTAGTGCAATGTGCACTAGTAGCACAGCATTCTCGAGTTTGGTTTTAAAATATCTTGAATTGTGGTCAATTAAGTTTATTTAGGCTTAGGGTAAAGTAGTTTCTAATGCTACAAACATCCAACTGTGTTATTAGCAGATATTTAGTTTATAGTTTTGTTCACACCAGGTGACTAAGAAGAGAAGAAGAACCCCACTCATGTTGGCAGAAACAATTGATGCTGGTCTTCTACGTACAGCTGCCGAGAGAAAGAATGATGAACGGATACTCGTGCAAATCCGGGGGAAAGACTGTGTAGCACTGGAAGTCCGCTATCACAAAGTTTGCTACTGCAATTATACAAATTTTCTCACCAGAGAGACAAAGAAGCAATTGGAGACTGAAAGATCTACAGTGTACGAGAAGTCTTATGATGTCTTCTGTAAGAAAGTAATCGAGACTGAGGTCATCGCAAATAAGCAAATAAGGTACATGAAAGATTTGCTGGAGAAATTTGTTATCATTGCTAAGGACACCGAGAATGTGGATGCATCTAAATATAGAGCTTTTAAACTCAAGCAACGACTGATGAAAAGTTATCCCCAACTTGTGTTCTATGTACCGAAAATGAGAAATGTTAGTGAGATTGTATATGTGGAAAATTTGGATTCTTCCGAATTGGTTGAGGAACATATGTCAAACAAGTCAGAAAACAACGATGAAGACTTTGATGAAGAGAGCTATACCGGTACCATTGATGATGATGATCTGAATTCCAACACAGAAACTGAGGGAAATTCTAAAGTCAATGAGTTACAAATTCTATACAATGCTGCATTGATTCTTCGCCAAAAGGTCCAAGATCTACCAAAACTGAATCTTCCTTGGCCACCATTGGCATCTGATTTGACAATGGATAATGTGCAAAAAGTGGTTCCATGTGAACTTTTTAATGTATTGGCTTGGACTTGTGGATTCTCTTCAGAGCCAACTTTAAGTGAGTACGTGCCAATTGAGGGCAAGAACAGTTCCAAACTAACATCAATTGTACAAGACCTTGTGAATTTAGCATCTGGGGGAAGGAATCCTACACCCAAGAGCATAGCACTTGCCATGGCATTTCGACAACTGACAGGTTCAGCCTCAATAATTTCTCTATTGAGTGGCTTTGGACATTGCATGTCACACTCATTTTTATTGTGCCATGAAACTGCCCTTGCACAGATGAATATATCTAATGATTCTGCTATTCCTCCAAGCTTTGTTAGTGATGTTCCAACTACTGTTATGGATTTTATATTTCTTCCCAATTTATCTTTTTTTTATGATGAACTTCGAGTTGGTGCCTGGGACATGTTTTTTCACAGTTAAAGGTCCTTCGCTGGTGCATTCTGGCTTCGTCGGTTGGAACAGATGGTTGGAAAAGATGGTTGGAAAAGATGGTTGGAAAAGATGGTTGGAAAAGATGGTTGGAAAAGATGGTTGGAAAAGATGGTTGGAACGAATGGAAAAGTTGGTCCAAATCCAAGATTGATATCCATAGAATATACTTCAGCAATGGATGAAACGCACAATTAAAGAAGCGCCAAACACACCTTGCATAGTTATTCAATAATACATTAAATTTAAAAATTCAATCAGAGGTTTTCCTAGGAGTTTATATAAATAGCCTGGGACAAACTGGGAAACATTGTTGCGCAAAGATATTTGTCATACTATTTTTTTTACCAATGTTTCGGTATGTCATATTGTCTTACCAGCGTCGACGAACGGAGAGAGAGTGTGGAATTAAATGTTTCCAAATTTGGTAGGAAATATTTTTGCTTTTCGGGAAGCAAATTTTGTTTCTGCATTAAAAGCTAATGTTTCCAGATGTGGGAGACAGGGAAACATTGGAGCAAACATTGAAAATCACGAATATTTTCGCGACAATGTTTCTTGCTGCGTTTGGCCAAGGCTATATTTAAGCGAAATATTTAACTTGTTTCTTGATTGTGTGAGTTTTATGTATATTTA